GAAGTAGAGATTTCCCTCGATCTCTCCGATTTCCAAGCACTTTGGCATCAGCTGCACAGGATGCCCAGCCTCACGATAGATTTCCTCAAACTCGGGTAAATAAGTGGAGTACATCTGCTGCTCCTTGTGGAAGTACCGCATCTCATTCACTCTCTGGCCGCCCTTATCTAAACTCAGGGTGGTCTTGACCACATACGACTTTCTTTTTTGAGTTCCGTCTAAGATAAGAGATTTTCACGTTGTTCCTAATTATATAATCCAGAACACCTCACCCTTCATTTCTAAATCCAAGTAAACACGCAACATGACCGATGTAAAATTGCATCCTGGCGGAACAGCGGCCACTGGAGTAAACTGGAGAATCTTACTATAATCAGGCTCATCCTTTGCGAGCAAGAACTCAAACTTCGCCCTGTTTAACCATTCAGGTATAATCAGACTCTCGTTGGGGTTCTCGATCTTCTCGGAGCGCGACATGATTTCAACTGATTCCAAATTTAAGTCTTATGCCATTATGTTAAGTTTATCACAAAGAGATAATATCTCTGGAGATTATTCTCTGTCAAACAGATAGTTTTTATGATGGTTGGATGAATCAGCAGAAATACAATTATAAACATAATTAAGACTATTATTTTAGATTATTCAGCCTTGAGGTAACTGAAACTTAAACCTTTTTTATCTAAAGTAACCATCAACTTACTCGAGTCAAAGTCATACTGATAAGGTGCACACTTTTTTGACACTCCAAACTTGTTATCGTCATACTTATCTATCATTTATTGCAAGTTCACAAATCAAACATCATAGTCTTCAAAGTTTAAAATTCCGCGGTTATACAGGAAGGGATATAGCTCCTTCATAACTTTCCAAAGGCGGGATTGGAAAGCATACGCAATCTGAGACTTTCTCCTTCCTCTGTGTCAGCGGTCATATTGTGAAAACTGCTGTCCTTATCGGAGGGAAATAGAGTTATGGGCAGGTGATTCATAATGCTGAAGAAAGCTGCAGGGGAATAATTTGATTGAGTGATTTAAAAAAGCATTTTAATATAGATCTTACGGTAAAATGAATAGTGCTTGTTGTTCATAGAGCTTTGAAGATCGCGTAGTTTTGGCAAGGGCTTTTTCAGTTTCAAAACCTTTAGGCACTCGATGAGGCGCTCCCAGTAGATTCGCACGAAGTGATCAAACTCTTTGATAAGCAAATCCTTTTCGGGGGAGAGGGTGAGGAAGAAAAGCAGGTCCACGCAGGACTGGCCCACGTGGTAAGCTGGAAGTCGATTAGTATGAGCTGATCGAGACTTCCGTCGGGCAAATAATTGCTCATCAGATTGCTAGACCAGAAGTCACCGTGATTGAGTACATGGAATTCCGTGGGATCCGCCTCCAAAGTACTCAGGCATTGAGCCCAATACTGATCTTCATTGGGCTAATTAAAAATAAGGAGATATTATTACCGCGATTCCTCTTTCAATTATATTCAACTTACAAAGTCCTTGACGTATTTCTCTGCGTCTTTCATGCCCCACATAAGCATTGCCTTCTTGTAGGCCTTCTCCTTCCGCTTGAACCCATCAATATGGAATTTCTTTACATCCCGCTTCACGAATCCCTCATTGAATTCACTGGGATAGGGACCATGCAGCTCCTCGTACACCGCACTGGCCGCGTGATACTCGGCCAACTTGTGCAGGGATTTTGTCATGTGCTCCATATCCAGTCCCTTGGTACGATCCATGTTCTTGAATCGCTGGACACACAGGTCCTCGAAGATGAAGTGGATGTCTCCATCCCGCTCCTCAGTGTGCAGGCACTTGGGCGCCAATTTAAGATCCCACCCGACATCCTTGTAGAGGGCCTCGAAGGCGGGAAGGTACGTTTCGTACATCTTAGCCTCCTTGGGGAAAAGTCCAAAATCGTTAAAGTCACTGCCACCTTTCTCCTCGGGTAGCATCGTCTTGAAAATATATGTTTTGGTCTTGACGCTACCATCTGCAATATTAAATAAAATCGCATTTTTAAACATGTTCTTGAGATCTGAAATCTCTATAAAACGTTACCCCACAATTAGGCGTATCTTTATTTAAAGCTTATAAAACTGTATCAAGTACTGTAACTATTAACAACCACATATGAAGTCTTTATAGATCTTTATTATGATGATTATTGACATACGAGTATGTTTACCACAAACTCACCTTTCATTTCAAGCTTAATATAGACCCTCAACATGGTCGAGGTGAAATTCTCCCCAGGCGCAATCGCCGCTACCACGGTGAATTTCAGTACTTTAACATGATCTGGTTCGTCCTGGCCAGGACACCTTCGAAGTACTTTTCATTGATCCAATCCGGAATGATCAGATTCTCATTGGGGTTTACGATTTCGTCGTTGTCGGACATTTTGCTATTTATTCTAGTGTATTTGGCTGGCACAACCTCTTCCGGCACCTGTTAGTTCGGGACTGAAAGTGTACACATTTCTAAAGCTGCTTAAATAGCAATTTTTGAGTTCTCTTATCGATAACTTATTTCATAATGTTGGGTAACACCAATAAGTTGCCAAAGTTTGTCTCTTTAATTATCAAACTATCTCTTCAATCTTGTCTAGCGGGACTTTATAACTATTTTCACATTTTATAATTTTATATCTGTTTTGACTTGTTTATTATTTTTAATGACTGCCTTGCTTGCTTATTATAACGCATATTTGACGTATTTTACTCAGACATCATAATTATGGGTAGTTCTCAATGAAGATGAATTTCGTGTATTTACATTGTTTTTGGTAAATTTTGGATTCATCTAGAACTTTTCTACGTTATCAGCTATATAGTTTTTTTTTTATTAAGAGCATTAAAAAATCGTCGTGTGCTCAATTGTGTTACTTAGGTTTGCTGGCCTTGACAGCCAATTGATAGCACACAAGCAAATTCAAGACTGATTAATGAATGTTTGTTTGTGATACACTATCAGCCTTATAAAGCCAATTTGATTGCGAGTCAGCGTAAAGAAAGAACGGTTTCGTTTTGATAGTTCACCATGAACTATTTAATCAGATATTTAGCAAGTCAGATAATTTGCTTGTTTCTACAGCACAGATAGTACAAAAATTAATTGGTCACACGCATGCCTTGTATACATTTTAATCACCATTTTTTTAGCTTACTTATTGTTGGTAGTTTAAATGGTTTGCGACAGCAGTTGTATTTGTTTGTTTTCCTATCTAAAAAAGCCAGTCATCGTGATGTTAAGATTTTGTTTGGGACGTCATCAGCTAAAAGTTGTCTTAGTTCGTATAGTGATTTACTTTGTTTGTGGCATTTCAGTCAAAAACATTTACATTTTATTTAAGAACCATTTAAAAATCAATAAATACATTCCTTTTCTTACTCGAAGTCAATAAAATTAAAGATTCCACGGTTGTAAAAAAATGGATAGATTTCCTTCATAAGACGGCAAAACAGAAACTCTCAAAAAGATTCACTACCAGGGTACAATGCCCACTCCTCATGGATTCTGGGCGGAAATGAAACGCCATAGATATTACGGTGAGTTAAAAATTGTCACTTCTCTAAAGATCTTTTAAGCAATGTTTGATTTCAGAGTTCCTATTGCTGAGCACTTTCTTGCCTATTTCTATTGGTCTTAGAACTCATTTCATGGATTTAGATGATTTGATGCACGATGAAAAAACTCGTAAAAAATGTTATCAACTGACAGATTTCGTTGAAGAAACCAAAGTTATGTTGGCCAGATTTGAAAAAGCTGGATATTTTGAGGATTTGTGAAGTGGAATATCTAAAATTTAAAAAGAATAAATGTTGTTTTTACATTTTTTCTCTACTCTACTCTACTCTTTTTTTGGGAGCATTATTCATTGTGTATGTGATTCCACTGGTCTTAGTGGGATGATGAAACGAGCTCGTCTAAAAACGCTCTCTTTCTGATGTCCAAAAAGAGAAGAAGTATTTCAAAATACAACGAAAAGCTCTTCTCTATCTCAGGGTAAAAGCTTTTTAAAAAACCCACGCAATAACATCGAAATTATCTCTGGAAATTAATTTAAGTAGAAGCGAAATCGAGCTTTGTTCAGTTCGCTCTCTATTAGAAATCGAAATAGAAGTTGGTAAACAAAATGCCGGGAACACCGATAGCAGTCAGTTCAACGATGACGAATTGGTGCCACCTGAGTGGCTGAACTCGGAGTTCATAGCAGATGTTCTGGGATCCCATGAAAAAGAACCCGTGCTTAAGGTAATCGACTTAACCTTCTCCCCGGCGAGTGCCAAGGGCGATCACTATGCCAGCATCATGTTCCGGGCAAAGGTCAAATATACCACCCCCAAGGGGGAGTTTGAAAAGTCTTTGATCATTAAAACGATGCCAGAGGCGGAGGGTTACAAGAAGGAGTTGCTAGGGGGATCACCCATATTCGTAACGGAGATGGGCATGTATACTAAGGTGCTGCCCGAATTCGAGAGGATTCTTCGCCAGGCCGGCGATAGCACCAAGCTATACGTCAATTGCATATATCACAGTCTAGTGCCGCATCAGGTCCTTATCTTTGAGGATCTCGTAGAGATGGGCTACTTTGTGCTGAGGGATCGGGACGCCACCCTAGACGAGATTCATCGGGTGTACTTCAAACTGGCGAAGTGGCATGCAGCCAGCTTAAAAGTTCAGTATGAGGTAAGTTTAAAAAAAAAAAACAAAAGTACAATCTTTAAATTTGTCTTGCAGGTTTTTTAAGCTTAATGAACAAAATGTTTTTCGTTTTGTTTCTCTCTCTTGTATTTTTTTTGATTGGGAAAGTATTATGATTGTCAATTATTTTTAGCAACCAGGCCTTCTAGAACCATACCTCACGGACTTTTTGAGATGCCACATGTTATGACTGAGCCTTTCATGAAAACTGGAATAGAATTTTTCGTCGAACTTTTGAGTACAGAACCGGAGCTTAATAAGTACAAATCCTATTTTGAAAGCATCAAGGGAGATTTTCTGGAGCTTATTTTGGCAGAGTGGAAGGAAACCCGGAACAACCCAAAAGTAGACCAGTATAGGGTACTTTGCCACGGAGATCTACACCTTCGAAACATTATGTTCAAGTATAAGGACCGGGATCCTTCCAAGACTGCATGTTACTTGACTTTCAAATCTCGAACCTTTTCCCCTAACATTCGATCTGGTTTATTCGATATACATGCTTATGGAGCCAGAACATCGCTGGAAGCACTGGGATGATCTTATCAACTATTACTTTTTCGTACTAGAGGATGTTTTAAAGAAAGTCGGATATAAAGGTGAAATGCCCACCCAATCGGGTCTTTGGCAGCGCCTGCATCAGCATAAATACTATGGTGAGGTCCATATTTAATTATTATAATAACATATTCTTAAATTTTGTACGACTCCGTTAGAGTTCTTCCTTATAAGCACCTTCTTGCCTTTGATGTGGGCTTCAAAGGATACGTCTGTAGACTTTGGCGACCTGCTTCAGAATGAGGAAAAGCGAAGGAAATGCTCCTTTTCTAAAGGCTACATTAAGGATGTGAAAATACTGCTGTCCCGATTGGATAAGTTGGGCTTACTCCAAGCTTGAAAAAGTTTTTCCTCGGTCTTGTTTATATAGAATCAGTATTTTCATTTCATATTTCAGCTAAGTGTGTCAATGTAAAATGGTAAATAAATAAAATATAAAAATACGCTTTATTGAGTCTATTGAGCACGTTTTAACAAAATTCCATGTAAATCCAAGCTAACAAATGATTTCAAAAGCAAACAATTTAAATGTTTACCTCATTTGAATCGCTAATTTACGTCTCTCTACGTTCTCTCATCTGGAAGCCTAGTGAATGAGAACTTTTTGCGTGTTCCTAATTATATATGTAGACTGATTGCTGCGGGCAATTAAAACCCCATTTATGACGCAGTCACCCACCATATTTCCCTCAATGCCATCTGTATGAAGTGCACTTATTTTATGGAAGGTTTCCAACTGATTAAATGCGCGGATAATAGATAAAACAGAATTACAGATGTGGAAAACGAGTGCGGTTTTGAAGTAATAAAATAGATAAAAGGCAAATCTTTGGGCACTGCTAAAAATTTGGTTATCAGTTCTTAGGTTGTGAAAAAAATAACGCTAATAAATGGTTATAGCTTTCACAATGTCAATTTGCGTTAATTGATTGAGTGATAACATCGGTCAACAACTGCGTATTAAATATAGCGCATAAGTCACAAGTTTTTGAGTTTGACACCCACAAGTTTAAAAAGAGATTCGAAGAACTAACACTTCAATAAAATACTCTTGGATGAAATCGATTTCTCTTTGGATTCAATTAAAAAGCCACATACCAAGCTCATCGCACGCGTATCCATTTTTAGCCAGTCATGATGATTGTTTTTACGACTGTGACAAGCGAATTGTATTTGTCCAAGGTTCGAGCATGCGATTTCATTGTGAAAACTGGAAACTGTATGTTTAAATTAAATAAATGGTGCTTATTTATTGCTGGCTCTTATGATATATGATATCACACAAAGTATACAATGGCTACATTGTAAAGAGTAACCGAACTTAAACCTAAGCCGACTTCAAAAGTCCTTTATTTTCGAAAAACGGCAAAAGCAACTTCATGGCCCTAGCATAGTAGGGATTGATGAAGGTCCTGTAACGCATGGCATCGGCCTCGGGTCCTGGGGCCATCATCATCTTCATGTTGGCGTCCTTGTCAGTGGGCATAAGTGTCGCCACCATCACACCCATAGCGGTCAGGGGTCCTATGAATAATAATAAAATAGTAGAGCATTAAATATCCAATTTAACCCAAAAGACCTACCCCAGAATCCGTATTTCAGCATCATAATGTGCAGATCCCTGAGAGAGGGAATGGTTTTGGAGTAGTTCAGAAGTTAAGACATCTGCCAAACGCTCGTGATAGATCTGAATGAAGTGATCGAACTCCTTGACCTTGATATCCAGCGAGGCAGATGTTGTGATCAGGTACCAAAGATCCTGGGCCGGACTGCCCCACTTGCCTATCTGCAGGTCCACAAATAAGGTTCTATCGATCTCACCGTTGTCTTTGTAATTGAACATGATGTTGTTGGACCAGCAGTCGCCGTGGTTCAGCACATTAAATTCGGTCTCATCGACCTTGTTGACTTGCATGGCTTCTTCGAACACTTCCAGGGGGCTCCACATTTGGGCAATGTATTTTTCGACATTCTCGAGGTCCCACTGTCGCATCGCCTTAAGGTACATCGACTGTCGCATCTCTCCCAGAGCCTCGAAAAGAGCACGACTCTGCTCGTTGTACATGGATAAGGAGTACAGGGGATCGTAGGGCCCATTTAGTTCCCTGGCGACCACTGAGGCGGCGTGGAGTTCGGCCAATTTCCGGAGCACGTGGCGCATGTGCGGCAGGTCAAATCCCTTTAGTCGATCGATATTCTTGAAGTGCTGCCGGCTTAGATCCTCGAAAACTAGGGTGATCAATTCGGCGGTGGCGTCGACGTGGAGGCTCTTGGGGGCCAACTCAATTTCTAAGCCGGCCTCTTTGTAAAGCTTCACGAACTGCGGGACTAGCACCTCGTACATTTTCCTTTCCTTGGGAACAATCCCATGCCATTAACCACATCTGCTCCGCTGTCCGCCTCCAGCATGGTTTTTAAAATGTATGAGACTTTCTGTTCGCTGCCATCTATAAAAATAAAGAGTATAAAATATATCTGTTTTCTCTCGAGAGAGTTCATAATATGAATAATAAAATATTTTTACAAGGGAGAGTTAAAGTTATCCTGTTTTTATAAATACAATTTATTAACTAACCCTTTAGCAATATATCCACAATGACCCGATCATAATAGAGGTATAGTTCTCGCCAGGTGCGGTGGCCGCAATGGGTGTAAAGTTCACAATCTTGTCAAAGGTTTCCACATCCTTCTGAAGAATCGGCAGGAAATAATCCTCATTCACCCACTTTGGTATATGCAGGTGCTCGTTGGGATTGACTGGTTTTTCCGATTTGCTGTTCGGCGACATTTTGGTGCTGATGCTGTAACCGGGAAATCAATTAATTTACTCTCGGTGGAAACGATCAGAGGTTCAAGATCAAAGTAATTAAACAATTTTTTTATATATCTTATTATCTTAATTACAGTCAACGACTGAGAAAGCACCATATGACGGGGAATTTTAAAAAGTGAACAGGTGTGCCGTTGATTAAGTGGAAAATAAAATGGGGTAAAACTTTCTTTCTTTTCGGCTTGGCTCATTCAGATAATGTATTCGGCGGTTAACATTTTTTGGAGTAACATCGATATTTAATTTTGAATTTTAAACTTTGTTTTTAAACTTCACTTAAGTGAGTATATTTCGTAGACTTTCTACGAGTAAAGTTTATTTCCGCATTAAAGATTGTCTCCGACCCGCCCATCAAATTTGCTACAATTGATATTTATTACTGACCGACTTTGTGGATTTCTAGATTGAATTTAAATTCCCGCTCGGAGAAAACACAGTGGCTGTGTCCGACGATTTCTAACGACAAACAAATACTGAACAGTCCGTGAGAATCCCATACTTTTATACTAATAGACCCCGCGTAGACAAGTAAAGCGGTTTGTGTGTCTAAGTCTATGTGCTAGCGTAAACTGATAGCGTAAACTGGTTTTTGTCTAGGCGGACCCATATGTGATTTAGAACAAAGGTAATAATAGATCCATGTAATCAATTCCAATATCTCTGGATAAACGTTGCCGTAAAAGAAATCATCGTTGACCCATGTAAAGGCATTTGTAAGTTACGTTATTGTTTTATGTGGGCACTTCTAAGCAACTAACCTTTTCACTTATCTTATCGCAAAGTATATGTCGTTTAAATGAAAGTCTTTCCCATGGGTATGCTAAATTTCATTCATAATCGAGAACTTTGAACTTTGGATACATTTCCAGAAATTTGTATCCCATTTCATCATGCCTCTAAAATTATTTATATTATTTATTATTATTTGTTCTACTTTAAATCCTTTAAATTTATTAAACAAACGTCAAGGAGGCTACTTTATTTTTCTGCCAGCTGCTTAGAAGTACTAAAAGTAGAAACAACCAGTAAATTAATTACACAGATGAATGTTTTAGTATGTGTAGAACTGATGTTGAAATGGAAGTAGGCAATTGTTGTCCAACAAATCAATTAAAATTCCGCACAGTGCTGTTTATTGTCACTTCCCATTTTCCGGTACATATTCACATGTTCACTCATACTATGCGGTTAACTGAAATATGTTAATTGAACCAGACCCGTCATCCCGAATCGGAATAATTAAGGCTCGTCCAAGTTCGGGGAGTGTGCCATGATAATTTTCTTGTGCCCGTGGTGGCCTGATAATAAATATCAATTTATATTGAGGATCAATTAAAGTTAGTTTGTCGTCAGCGATTATGTCGCAATCAATAGCAAACGTAAAACAATGCGGATCATTCGAAATAATGTGTAAAAAAAGCGCAGCGCCATGACTGGCTAAAAAAGGAAATCAGTCTAAACAGTATTGATAAGGTGGCACTTGGCTATAACACAATAAAGACATTGTTCTTGAAATTATAGATACCCAATGGACGCCACTTCCATTCAATAAATCTTATCATGAATTGGTATAAACCAATTAATTTATTATGTTCTAGTTTTCAATATATTTTCAATTAATTTAGTCCTAATTGAGCAGGAATCGTTCCTCCATCCAGGGCAGGATCTCCTTCATCGCCTGGATGTATTTTCGGTTGGTGAACATGGCACACTTCATTTTGGAGGCATATCGTTCGTTGACCTCGTCCTCAAACTGATTCATCATCGCAATGGGCAGAGCGCGAGTGACCACCACATAGGCTGGAATCAACCCCATTGATAAAATTAACTTTAGTTAATAGGGCTCCGTATACCCACCTGCCAGGCCGTTCCTACTGAGGGAATCGCGAATATCCTTTAGTTGCGGCAAAGTGACTTGACATTCAGAACTTTGAGATTATCCAGCAAATGGTAGAAGTAATACTGTACCAATTCATCAAACTGGTTTAACTTAATGTCCTTCTCAGCGGATGACAGGATGGTGTAGTAAAGATCAATGGCCTGAAAATAGATTTTATTATAAATAGAACAAATATATAAATTATATATAATAATTTTAAAAAATACCCACCGGAGATCCATATTTGACCACCTGGAAATCGAGCAGGGCGGTTTCTTCAACTTGACTGATGTCGTCAAATTTAAACATTACATTATTCACCCAGCAGTCGCAGTGATTTAGGACATTGAATTGTTTGGGATCGGGGACGTGGAGCTCCAGTAGCCTATCTACGAGATCTTGCTCCTTCTCCACGAATCGCTTGTGGAAATGGTCGCCCATGCGCCATCGTCGCAGCTGCGAAAGGAAGATGTCCGGATCGTTTAGCTCCCGGAGGACGGATCGATTGCCTTTAGTATAGACTCCTTTGGTAAAAGGCTGCTGAAAGCTCCATGCTTTTCCACAAAGACGACGGAGGCGGCATGTAGTTGGGCCAGCTTCTTGAGCACTTGCTTCAGGCACTCTTCATTGAACCCCTCCTGTCGCACCACATTTCTGAATCCCCGGGTCTTGAGATCCTCCAGCAGGATGTACTGGACACCGATGCTGTGGTCCAGCTTAAAGGCCCTCGGGCCAAAGGTTATCTCCTTGCCCACCTCCCTGTACAGCTCCTCCAACTTGGGCAGGACATTGTGGTATACCTGTTGTTCTCGGAGGAACAGCTTCAGCTGGCTCATCAACCTGGCCTGGAAGTCGCTGCCGTGTGGGGCCTTCAGCACAAAGGATAACTTCTTTACCGTGAAGTCTGGTAACTGGACCTTCACTCGGATGGGAAGATGGACCGTGCAGTTACGGAACTGGATGAGGTGGACGCTTGGAATTACCGTCAGGATGTGGTCACCATCCCCCAGGATGGACTGAACCGCCTGATTCAGGGACAGCGTGGAGACCCAATCGGGAGTTTTCGGTACTTTCATCGCTTTAAAAACACTTGTAAAATTTTTACCCCAGAAATTTTGTAGTTAACAGAGTATAACTATTGAGTGAAATTTCTAAAGGAAGCTGCTGCTAAAATTAAAGTTATTAATATATGCTGCATGACAAGCCAATTTAATATTTAATTGACAGTCAAAGGTTATTTTGAATATAATTAGCATTTATTAACCTTCCAAAGCAATTTGTAGGTGGCACCATTATATAGGCATTATTATAGTACGAATCCATCATTATGTCATTTGGGGGGAAATCACTTCCAGTCGAGCAACCCGCGGTTGTCCAACCATGGCAGCACCTCCGTCATCACCTGGACATATTTCGGGTTGGTGAACATGGCGTTCTTCATTTTGGACTCGTCGCTCATGTAGCTTTCCAGATTGGCGTTGTTGGTCTTGTCCAGCATGACAACGGGCAGCACCTTGGACACCACCATATAAGCTGTCGAATGAGGAGTTAAGATTATGATATAATACAGTTGATGTTTCAATACTCACCAGCCAATCCGTTGCGGAAAAGGGCTGCATGCAGGTTCTTCAACTTGGGCAGTGGTCGGTGGTATTGCAGCAGCTTTAGATTCTCGATCAGATTATCGAAATAGTAGCGCACCAAGTAGTCGAACTTGGCGGTCTTCAGTTCGGGGGCAGCCGAAGACAAGATCAGGTAGTACAGATCATTGGCCTAAAAGAAGGAAATTTAAGATATAAATATAGTTTTTTTTTTTAATAAATAAGTAATTCTTACTGGACTTCCGTACTTTCCCACTTGAAAGTCCACGAACAGGGTCTCTTTAATGGTTCCAAAGGCATCATGCTGGAACATTATGTTATTGGCCCAACAGTCTCCATGGTTGAGCACATTGAATTCCCTGGCATTGTACTGTTGATCCTGCAGCAGGCGATCTACCAAATAGTCGTCGCTATCAGCCTGATAAAAATCAAAATGAAGAAAGGGTTACTTCCCTAAACCCATGGATTCCTATCAAAAGATACTCACCAACTTCTCGTAGATCTTCTGGGCATTCTTCCACTTCTTGAGCTGGGCCAAAAAGGCACCGGAGGCATTGAACTCCTGCAGCAGCTGGCGGTTGGCCTCACTGAACACTCCCACCGTGAACTCCTCCCCAAAGAGTCCGTGGTGCTCCACGTAGCAGGCGGATGCCGCATGGAAGGCGGCTAGTTTCTCGAGGACCTTTGCATGTGAACCAAGTCCAGGCCAGTCAGGCGATTGGCGTTCTTGAAGTTCTTGCGGTGCAGATCCTCCAGCAGAATGTAGTCCACTCCAAGGTCGCGATCCACCTTGAAGGCCTGAGGAGCAAACTGAATCGGCTTGCCGGCATCCGCGTAGAGCTTCTCGAATTTGGGCAGAATGCTGTGGTACATCACTTCCTCCTTTTGGAAGAGCTTCAACCTGGACAGAATGGCGGCCATAACCTCATTATCATGCTGGGCCTTCAGAACAAAGGAAAGGCTCTTGGTACTGTGATCTGTTAGAAATAACCATTATCTATTTAATGCAATTGGTGGGCTTAGAATTTATCTTAACTCACCTATCAGCTCCACTTCTACCAACAGTCGCAGGAACTGGGATGAATAGTTCTCGCCCTCGCTGCTGCCCTTTATGGGGGTAACCGATATGATCTTCTCGAAGTCCCCTATCTGGGCCTGAACAGCCTTTTCCAGGGTGATTTTTGGCAGCCATTTTGGCAGGTTTTCGGCTGGCACCTCAAGGGTTCCATTCGATTTAGTAGCCTCAGTCATGTTGAATCTACCATAAAAGACCGCCATTTATTTCTATGATTTAAAATGTTTTGTAAACACAAACAACGAGCTGATAACAACGATTCAAGCCTTTACTCTAATGCTAACACGGCGAACAGGTCGTATACATAACGATTGTTAGACCATTGTCAAACATAGGTGGCGCCACTGCGTTTTTTGATGATGGCGCGGGATATTTAAACAATAAAATGCTCTACTCTTGGCCCATCCCATCCCATAAAGGTTCTTTAATAACTGAGTGTATTTTAAGGAATTGCATCATCTGATGCCAAACAACTTATCTTGAAGAAGGGGTCTAAGGGTTTGGCGAATTATTAGCAAAACGTTCAAGTACTCTAATTGCTGCAGTAAAAATATTCATCTACATATGAAGGACCATCAAATCGAATACATTTTCTCTGACTTTTTCTAAAAAAAGGCATTGTTAATATACAACACAAACAACTAAACATAGTAAGTAAACAGAATTGCTAATGCCTCGTTAAAGTGTTTTCTGAAATACTTGAAGATAATTGGTGGACTTCCTGATAATCTAGAGTTTTCTGTATAGTTATTATAGTGTAGCTTACCCTACTACCAATTCCGTAGCAAATACATTCTTCCTGTAGATAATTTCAGGCAAATCATCATCAATATAGTTGGGCATATGTGATTAAAAAATTCAACTTATTCGAATGCCGGTAATTACCGAACTTTTGTGAGGCTTTCATTGATTAGGCAATTATCAGAGTTATCGCTATTTAATGAGCAAAAATCATAAATCAGGTCACATGTCAGGTACTGAAACACCTGCGTGAGTTCATGTGCATTACGACATACAAATTGAGTTGTCCTACCTCTTCAGGATCAAATATGGGCATGGGGGTACAAAACTTCACTTTAAATTATTATTATTCAGTTTCATAGGTTTGTTAACTAGTTTCACTCTAAAACGCCACTTTCACCACTATTCAACTTGGAACACTAGATGTTGGCCCCTTTTGAGCTATGGCTTTATAGGTTTCTACATTTGTAATTGCCAAATCTACGAGATTGGATCCGTGAAATCAGGGAATATGTCACTGGGGAAGTACACATCGGTAGCAAACCTTTTTCCTTAATAGGTAACGAGCGTTCTATTAGATCGACTGCAGCCCGGTCAACTGTCGAGTGGGAAATACGAGTCGCGATGGTCGGGAGCAGCGTTATTGCCCCGATTTGGCTATGGGCGAAGAAATTCCTTATCGCATGCATTCGATTGAAGTTTATTTTGTAATTCAGTTCGCCAAAACCGGCAAAAAGAGTGGCAATCGCCGGTGGCGAGAGCGGGAGCGCGATAGTGTGCCAGAGCGAGAGGTAAGTGATATATGATATGGAGGCAAACGCCGTCAATTGTTTGATTGATAACGAAAACTGTTTCTTGTTTCCACTTCTGAATCGACTTCTTTATCGCGCCCCCATATTCCTCTTTGGGCTCGCCATTCGCTCTAATTATTTCGTGATTCCTCATTAATTGCTGTTTGCGGGCGTGACATGTGACGGGTAGATAGATATAGACATATACCCCTGTGATTTCTGCACAAGCGCCACACACTTAATAAATAATTATTAGAATATTTAGTAAAGCTTCTAAGTATAAACAAGGCACAATGGAGCTTTTCGATTCAATGTGAATGGCCATTAATGGGCAAGTTATTTTCAATTGGTAAGAAGACGTTTCCGAATACATTTGTATATTTTTGGGGATCCAATGCAGGCCGCAATAAATTTGGAAGATCAAAAATATATTTTCTATACTTTTGCTACATGTGTGTAACATTAAAATTGGATGTTCATCGAAGCAGCTTTTAAAATTTCATTTGTCATTCATCCAATTATCCCTCTATTTACATAATTGTAGAACAACACTTTTACATTTATAAATGTCATGTTCAATTATATTTTTTAGAGCGGTACAAATGGCTTGTTTGATGTTAGATAATATGATTATTTCTAATTTTTTTACAATTATTAAGTGGTTTCAAAGAGTTATATAGCTGTCATGTAATCGAAGCCCTCCATGAAAACGTAATACTTCAATGCATCTGGTCTGCTACGAATTCAGTTAGAGCTGAAAGGCCCCCGATTGTTTAGCCACGTGAGAATGGCGCTAACATGCTTCTTGTATCGGGAATTGGAATACATTGCCATCTTGAGACCATCGCCATTATCCGATTCGGTGACGAAATCGGACAAATTGGCTTCGTCGGTTCGGTCGAGTAGCACAGGTGGGCAGAGCATCAGGGCAGTGTGATATCCTACGATTGAAAAGCAACCATTATTACTAACAGCTTTCCAGAGAGAGCTTTTCGCCTTACCAACTCGTCCATATTTCAACAGCTGAGTGTGTAGGAATCGCAACGAGGGGGTCTTGGCTTCGGGGTACTTCAGCAATCGCAAGTGCTCGACCAGCTGATCGTGATAGTACTTGATAAAGTAATCGAACTGACTCAATTGTATTTCGAATTTCGTCGATCCCAGGAGGAAGTACATCAGATCGTAAGCCACGCTGGTTACCCTGGGCAGCTGGAGGTCAACAAAATAGGTCTCGGCGGGTTCGGGCACTCTCCCTCATACCTAAACATAATGTTGTTCGTCCAGCAATCTCCGTGGTTCAGGGCATTGAAATCCTTCGGATCGGGCGTGTTCATCGCATACATTAGATCCACTATTTTGGGTTGAATCTTGTGCTGCAAAGGCAAGGAAACAAAAGTATTTTAATAAGCTATGAGCATTTATTGAGATATTTCTTACCACCGCCTCGCTATACTCTTCGTAGCCCTCGTAAAGAGGAAGGCACTTGAGGAAGTACTTTCCCAAAGTCTCGGCCACCTGTTCGATGTTATCCTTCATGCTATCGGTATAGGTGGGTTGCAAGTAGTGCTGGGTGTACGGACCCTTCAGATGAAGCCTGTTGGCCGAGGCCGCATGCCACTGGGCCATCTTCTTCAAAACACTCTTGGTGTGGGCCATGTCAAGACCCTCCAGCCGATCGACGTTCTTGAACCCGAATGGTCTAAGGTCCTGCAATAGGACATACTCATCGGGGGAATCTATTTCATAGGCCTTGGCCCCAAACTTGACCTCCAAGCCGGCGTCCTTGTACATATTCTCCAGCTCGGGAATTACTTGCAGGAAAACATCCCGTTCGACCACAAACATGTTGTTCTTCTTCAGGATTTCGCGGTACAACTCAAAGTCGTGTGGGGTCTTCAGCATATAGCTCACATTTTCGGTGGTGTGATCTGATGATGAAATCTTCGATGTTATTTACATAGTTTTCCTTGGCAATGACTCACACTTACCACTCAGTTCGACTTCGAAGTGGAGGCGTAGCATAATGGAGGAGTAATTTTCTCCAGGCTTGAGACCAGCCACCGGCTTGAAGCTCTTGATTCCTATATACTTATCGCCAAAATGTTCATTTAGCAATTTTTCAAATAGCTCGGCCTTCAGCCAGGAGGGCACTGGAACTGTTCCTGATTCCTCCGACATTGTTAATAAACTAAACTTTGTTTGCCGGCTGGTGGTGTTAGAATATGAGAGCACAAAGTTATATTCCCTTTATCTCTTTGTTCTATAATGTGTTCAAAAACAAAGGCCGATCGGAAAGCTCAAAAAGCTTGAGCCAAACCAAACAGAGAGTCCCGGCAAAAGAGAGCTCTCTAAACAACTTGATTCCGAGTGATACATACATATTCGTACATATGTGTAGACCAAAACAAATGCCGGAAAGTACTGCGTATATAAAAAGGCTTATTTGGACCTGACTGGTTTTCTTTATATGTAGGTATACAGAAATCAAATTAATTCAAAAAATTAATAATCAGTTTAATGAAATGAAGGTAAAGATATTATAGGCTAAATAATATAGCTTACCAATTGTATTGAATTTAAATGTAAAGGACAAGTATATTAATTATTAACTATTAATGTTATGTCTTAAAGTATACATAAGTTGGAAGATTTAAATTTTTATTCCATAGCCCCACGATGTTGGAGCCATGGCAATAGCACTTCCATATGTTTTTGAAATCTTGGGTTTTCGTAGAGTGATTTTTTAAAGCCGGAGTCGTCATCACCAAGAACTTTTTCGACATCAGCACCTTCCACGGGATCCAGCAGAACATACGCCATAATAGTTCCGGCGCAGATGAATCCTGAAAAATTTACATATTTATGAGATCTGATCGCATTAGTTTATATCTGATCAGTGACCACTTACCCCATCCACTATATTTGTTGAGGGCATCATTAATACTCCTTAAAGTGGGCAGTTCTTTTGAGTAATTCAGTAGTTTAGGTGCTTAACCAATTCCAAGTGGTAATACCAAATGAAGTAGTCAAATTTTGATGTTTTCACATCTAAACTTGTAGAAGACATTAAGAAGTAGTACAAATCCTGCGCCACAGATCCCCACTTGGGGATTTGAAGATCGACGAAATAGGTGTCCTGTATTCGTTGTTCTCATTGTACTGGAACATAATGTTATTAGACCAACCATCGCCATGATTCAACACTTTGAACTCATCAGGTTCGGGATTGTTTAGGCTGTCCACAATATCCAATGTCTTGGCACAGGCGATTTGCTGCAGCGAATAATAAAAGATAAGAAACAGAAATATGGAAATCTTGAGATAAGTTTACACACCAAATCCTTTAGATAAGTCTCGTAGTCTTTAAACAGCTCGATGTTATCCATAAATATTTTCAAGCTACGAGTACAAAACGCATCCACGATTTCCTCGTTCTTTAAAAAACCCTTCGTGTACTTCTCCTCGTATGGTCCCTTCGTTTCCACTCTAACGGCAGATGCCGCATGCCACTGGGCGAATTTCTTCAGTACACTCTCTGTATGAGCCTGATCCATGCCTTCGAGACGATTTATGTTCCTAAAGCCACGTGGGCGAAGGTCCTCTAGAAGGACATAGTAATCAGTGGCTTCTATCTCGTAAGCCTCTGCTCCAAACTTCACCTCCAGACCCACATCGCGATAAAGTTGTTCCAGTTCGGGAACTACTTCCAAATACATTCCACGCTCCACATCAAAAATATCTGTCTTTTTTATCATTTTACGATACAGCTCAGACTGATGGGGAGTCTTTAGCATGAATGCCTTAGTTGTCTGGGATTTATCTAGTGGATTTATATATTAGAAAGAATCAATTGTAGATACAATTACAAACCTTCCTTCTCCACATCGAGCTCTATTCTAAGCATTATAGTGGCGTAGTTCTCGCCGGCAGCAACTCCTGCTTTAGCCCTCATGGACTTCGTCTCCTTATAATCCTTGACCTTTCTTTTAAGCAGATGCTCGAAGGCTTCCGGCTTAACCCAATCCGGAATGACGACCTCCCTTTGGCTAACATCTTCGTCCTTTGTTTGCGATGACATTTTGAAAAGATCACGATGACTTCAGGGCACTGACTGGAAGCTTTTAGTACTATGCGCATCTTTTAAATACTGACGAGGAAACTTGATGACAATGTGAGCGATAAACCTTATCTCTCACTAACAATCAGCAAACTGTTTTAAATTCTTGGGTGCAAAACTGACAAGGCAGCCTATTACAGCTATGCCAGGTGAATGCGTCTGGAATTATTAATACAATCCCCCCCACAGATTAGATTCTTTGAATTCTGGTCATATAAGTTAAGTAATACAAGATAATATATATTTTAAAAGCAAGGTAAGTATGTATCAGAATAAAAGTATATATTAAAACAATGTCAATTTGGTATAAATATAGATAGGAATATTAATCACAAACGTTATCTTTCAAGTGATTTAATGCATCTATCTTATCTTTTAATTAAGCTGATAGCTGCATATACACATATATCCATGTTGATTAGGGAAAATAAAAAGTTATGTAATTCAACGATAATATAAATTTAAGAGCAGGGTGGGTACCAGCCAAAATAATAAGTATAAACGTTATCTTTCAAGGAATTTAAACAATGCTGTTTTAATTAGGCTGATAGCTGCATATACATATAGTCATATTAATTGCCGAAACAAATATATTTCAATTGTTTTTATTTTATTATAAAAGATTACATTTTTGAATAGGAAAATAAATTGGTGTGGTATTTGTAGGCAACATTTTCAATCTACTCTAAGGCCCCTTGGTGTTGCAGCCATGGTAATAAGATTTCCATATGCCTGCGGTATCTGGGGTTAGTATAAATTGAATTTGTAAAGCTGGAGTCTTTCGTTGATATAATTTTATCGAAGTCAGCTTCCTCTGTGGGATCTAGAAGCACGAATCCCATTACGCATGCCGAGCAGATGAAGGCTGTAATATGGTTGCTTATAAAAATGTAAGCTTTTAATTAAGATACGACTACTTACCCCATCCACTATATTTGTTCAGAGCATCGCGAATACTCCTTAAGGTAGGAAATGTCTTTGAGTAGTTCAACATTTTTAGATGCTTGACCAATTCCGAGTGGTAGAACCAAATGAAATAATCGAACTTCAATGTTTTAATGTCCAGGCTAGTTGACGAAATCAGAAAGTAATACAAGTCCTGAGCAACTGTTCCCCATTTGGGGATTTGCAGGTCAACGAAATAAGTATTTAATATCTCGTTCTTGTCGTTGTACTGGAACATAATGTTATTAGACCAGCCATCCCCGTGGTTCAGGGTATTGAATTCGTCTGGTTTTGGCACCCTCAGATCATTTACCACATCATATAACTTTTCTGAGACGCTGTGCTGTCGAAAAGGATCGGATGATAAAAACAGATCTATGTAAAGGTACTAAAGTAAATGTTAGCCTACCAAATCCTTAATGTAAGCCTCATGTCCTTTAACTAATCGATATTTTGTATCAATTTTTTAGCACTGCGATTGCAAAAAGCATCCAAAATTTCATCCGATTTAAAAAGACCTTCTGTATACTTTTCGTTGTACGGTCCTTGAGGTCGACGCGAACTGCAGAAGCTGCATGCCATTGGGCGAATTTCCTCAGCACATTTTCAGTATGAACCTGGTCTAATCCTTGAGCGATCAGAATTTTTGAATCCTCGAGGCCTTAGATCCTCCAGCAGACATAGTTTTCGTTGGTTTTTATCTCGTAGGCTTCTGCTCCAAACTTAATCTCCAACCCACATCGCGATAAAGTTGCTCCAATTCAGGAACAACTTCTAGATACATTCCACGCTCCACATCAAAGATGTTTGTTTTATCAAGAAGTCTGCGAAAAGCCTCAGAATTGTGGGGTGTTTTCAACATAATGCTTTGGTAACTTTCGACTTGTCTGTAAAAATGTTTTTTTGTGGATAACTTATTTAATTCCAGAAAAAAGAACTAACCTTTTGTCTCAACATCCAGTTCTACTCTGAGCATTATGGTGGCATAGTTCTCGCCAGCAGCGACTCCTGCTTTGGCTCTCAGAGCTTTAGTTTCTTTGTAATCCTTGACTTCATTTTTAAGTAGATCCTGAAATGCTTCCGGTTTCACCCAGTCCGGAATTTGGACTTCCCTCTGGGAAATCTCTTCGTCCTTCGTCTGCGGCGGCATTTTTGGAAGATCTACGGGACTTGAAATCACTTACTGAGAACTTGCGTTACGGGTATCTTCATTTAAATGCGGTTGATTTAGATCTGGGGTGGGAGAGATAAACATTATCTCGATCCCCGCATACACTTTTAATTGCTCCTTAACTCCTATGTGCAGTATGACAATGCACTTATTCACACCTTTGAACCCGGATTTGTATTGTATTAGTTTGGCTAAACCCTTCCATAAGACAGACATCGCAGTTTTTTAGAAAATAATAAAAGCCACTTGTTGAACGCTATTATAAATTGTTTTTTTTTTTTTGTAGTAAACAAAATATAGAGACAACTAATGAAGATACGCTTTGGGCCTTTATTTTCGGATTTGTTTTGCTACCTTTTTCGCTTGCTACCTTATGTGGAATACGTTTTATGACACTCATTCTACTTATCTACGCATTTCAGGCGTAAGCTTTTTGTATAAAAGCTGCAAGTTGCTTTTGGCCGTCTTTCGTTTTGTTTTGCTACGGTTATTTGTTTATGCCCATATAAGGCATATTCTTTTACCTATCTACGATCTTGTTTAATGACTCAGGTTGCTTACCCCCTATGTCGTTATCATATCAGCTTTCTCTATAAAAATACACTTTATCACGGTGCTTTTGCTAAATGATTAATTTCGTTTATTGTTCAAAGTTTTACGTTCTTAGTACTCGTTGCCATTATCGCACATAAATGGAGATAAGACTATCATGGGGTTGCACTTTATTCTTAATCAATTTAGATTGTTCATTTAAAAATTGGAATTTATTTAGTTCGGTGTTCTATATATCCAAAGAGCCACGATTTAGTAGCCAGGGCATAATCGCTTGGATGTGTTTGCGGTACCGGGGACTGTTATAAAGCTGCATCTGGAAGTCCACTCCCGCTTCAGTATCGCCCATAAAGTTCTCAAAACTGGCAGAGTCCGTGGGATCAAAAGAACGGCGGCCATGACACCAGTGACTACGGAGTAGCCTAGTGGATATGATAGGAATTTCACAATTTTATGGTATGTTGTAGCATTGAAACCCCGTAACTACTTACCGAAAAATCCGTATTTGAAAAGCGCCAAATGAATGTCTCTCAGGCTGGGAATGGGTTTGAGTATTTCAGTATCTTCAGGTGCTCAACCAGGTACTCATGGTAAACCTTAATATAGTAATCGAATTTTGTGAGCTTATCTCCAACTTTGTAGACGAGAGCAAGAAGTATAGGAGGTCCTGGCCACAGTACCATATTTAGGAATCTGATAATCGACCATATACACCTCCTTAATTTTTCCAAATGCATCATACTGGAACATAATATTATTCGACCAGGAATCCCCGTGGTTCAGTACATTAAATTCTGTGGGGTCCACCTTACCAAACTCGAAAAGCTTATCGACGAAAACAGGCTGCAGGGCTTTCTAGTAGACAAGAACAAATAAAAGCATTACGATATCTATTGGGCATTTCAAGTACTTACTACTTACCACTTTGTCTATAAAGATTTCGTAACCTTCGTAGGAACACAGCTTTTTACAAAATTCGCGCCCATTCCTTTCATCATTTCAGTCATCATTGGACGGGTGTCCTCTTTAAAAAGCCCTGCACAAGGACGTCAGGATAAGGTCCTTTGGTGGCCACTCGCACGGCAGATGCAGCATGCCATTGGGCTAACTTTAGGAGCACTCTCTCCGTGTGAGTTTGATCGAGTCCTTCCAGCCTTTGGCATTCTTAAATCCCTTTATTCCTAGATCCTCCAACGCCACATAGTCAGTCTTGGCATTCTTAAGATCGTAGCTCTTGGCCCAAAAGTGATATCCACCCACTTCCTTATAAAGAGCAGCCATCTCAGGAACAACCTCATTGTACATTGAGCGCTCGATGTCAAAGATGTTCGTTCGCTTCATCATCTCCTGGTACACCTCCAGTTGGTGGGGCAATTTTACCATGTATGAAACCGGTTTCGTTTTGCCATCTGGGGGTGGATATCAGCCATTTTTCTCGGACTTTAACCCCACTGACTTACCCTGTAGCTCAACATCGATGTTAACTCGCAGCATAATAGTGGCATAGTTTTCACCTGCCGCAGATCCTATGTCCGCCTTGAAGGTCTTGACTTTTGAGTAGCCCTCCACATTCGCCTTGAGTACATCTTCGAACAATTCTGCAGTTATCCACTCAGGAATTTTACTGGTCGCCATTACAGATACTCGTTATTTGCTTTTCTATAACACGTATACGCCTAGTTGTGACGGAATAAGTGGACTGAGGCCAGTCAGGGAGGATCAGTAGTTTTATATCTGTTGGCAAGCTTTTATAATTGAGTTCGTAAAACAAGCGGGCTTTTTCTCTGTTTTCCGAGCAAGCTTTTCTAATTCCACTTTAATGATTCTATTGTTTATTTCGCGACTTGATCAAATTTGTATTATATTGGGCCTTTTTCAAGATCCATCATAAGATGAAAAAGGAAGTAAATTGCCCAAACATTACTCTTTATTTAATTAGTTAATTAATAATTGTTTTTATCAAAGTTATTTTTCACAAAAAAAATATTTTTTAAAATTATGTGGCCATTAATGTAATAAGATTTTTTTTCCCCATATCATTTCAATAAGTGTAGAAACCTAACTATGAAAGGCAGCTATATGTGATTTGTTTTATTTTATTTAGTTTAATACTCTCAAGCGGAATGATTTAGAGAAAGCGAGTTTTAGCATCTTATCGCAATATAAGTAGGCAATTTCCTATTAACATCCAAGCACCGCGATTAAGCAGCCAGGGTAGGATAACCTGAATGTGTTTTCGGTAGCGGGATTATTGTACATTTGCATCTGGAAGTCCGCTCCTTCGGCTGAGTCGCCAATAAAGTTCTCAAAACTGGCGCTTTCTGTTGGATCAACAAGAACAGCTGCCATCACCCCTGTGGCCACGGAGTATGCTGGAAATGGTATTTAATGTTATTATAAGCTCTTGACAGCAAATCTACGAAATACATACCAAAAAGGCCATATCGAAATAACACCTTGTGAATGTCTCGCAGGCTGGGCAGTGGCTTGGAATATTTCAGTATTCTTAGGTGCTCCACCAGATTATCATGGTACACCTTAACATAGTAATCGAATTTGCTTAACTTGTCTTCCAGCTTGGTGGAAGAAATTAGGAAGTAGAGCAATCCTGGGCAACAGATCCGTACTTTGAGACCTGATAGTCCACCATATAGACCTCCTTGATTTTTCCGAATTCATCGTACTGGAACATAATGTTATTTGACCAGGAATCACCGTGGTTCAAAACATTAAAATCGTTAGGATCGACTTCCCCCAACTTGAACATTTCATCTATTACCACTGGCTTTAAGCTTTCTAAATGGGTTTGGATAAGTAATCTATATAACAAATGTATTTTGAAGTTGCAATCAACTTACCACTTTGTCTATGTACGCCTCGTTACCTTCGTAGGTGGCACAGCATTGAGGAATATCTGTCCCATGCCATTCATCATTTCATTCATCAACGGCTTGTTTTCTTCCTTGAAGAATCCCTTCAGAACAATTTCCGGGTATGGCCCTTGGTAGCCACTCTCACGGCGGTGCAGCATGCCATGGGCCAACTTCCGGAGAACTCTTTCCGTGTGGCTTGATCGAGTCCCTCGAGACGATTAGCGTTTTTGAAACCTTTTATGCACAGATCCTCCAGAGCTATGTATTCGCTTTTGGCATTCTTAAGATCGTAGCTCTTGGCTCCAAAAGTTACCTCCACTCCCGCTGCCTTGTAAAGTGCCTCCATCTCGGGAACAACCTCATTGTACATGGTGCGCTCGATTTCGAAGATATTGGTGTGCTTCATCATTTCCTTGTACACCTCCAGCTGATGTGGCAGCTTTACCATGTAAGACACCTGGTTTATTGAACCATCTGTAGGGCAGATTTTCGCAATCAATAAAGCTCCCCGAAACTATCCCCCAAAATACCTTGCAGCTCTACTTCGATGTTACTCGAAGCATTATGGTGGCGTAGTTGTCACCCGCAGCGGAACCACTTTCCGCCTTAAAATTCCTGACTTTTGAGTACCCTCCACAGTGGATTTGAGAACATCCTCAAAAAGATCTGCATTGACCCAATCGGGTATTTTACTAGCAGCCATTGTAGATAATCGGAATAATTATTATTAAAATGCACTGAACACGTATACGCCTCGTTGACGGTTTTTGGCGAAAACTGAGAATTAGATATTATTATATCAGTGAGGAGCTTTTGGGAGGTTTCTCTCGATCTTCTCTCAAAAGCTCTGCTAATAACATTCAAATATTTTGGTAGCGGAAAGCGTTTGTCTTTTGTTTACTTCACATCGGGCCATTTTTGTAGTAACCCCCCAAATCGAGCCTCATTGCCCATTATCATATAGGCAACACGTTTTACAAGCAACTATTTACATTTTTATAATGATAATACGCATTAATAAAATTACAAAAATATTTTGTACAAATTTCTAATATTATACAATGTTTTTCCAGCCCTTTATTATTTACATTTTTCAGATTGTGATTAACTGATTATTTATTATAATACTTTTATTACTTGTTAAGAACATGTTTATCATTACATTCTGTTTATCTTATATAACCCCGGTTAATAAGCCAAGGTAAAATGACTTTTATCTGATCCACGTAAGCCGGCAGAAGAAACATCTTACGCTTGAATGCTATCGCCTCCTCCGAGTTTCCCATAACATTGCCTATATTTGAATCGACATCGGGCGGGAGCAGCACTATAGGTAGCATTCGCTGAGCGCAATAAAAGCTGAAATTACGAGAGTCTTGCATTTAGAATCACACTGATAAACGCTTGAATAGAGGTTCTTACCCCAGAGACTGTATCTGTACAGATGGGTGTGAAATTGAGCTAGTGTGGGAGCATTCCGATTGTAGTTGAGCAGACTTAGATGATCGACAAGCTGCTGGTGATAATACTCTATGAAGTGATCAAATTATCCAGCTTTATCGAAAATTTGGGAGACGTCATCAGCATGCAAAATAGATCCTGGGCGGGTGTGCCTAAATATGAACATCGTTAAAAAAAGTATTCTTTTTAACAATCATTGGTTACCAAATTTAGGCAGTTGAAAGTCGACAAAGCAAACATCCTCCACCTCAGAGTCATCCTTATATTTGAACATAAAATTGTTGCACCAAAAATCTCCATGGTTTAGCACACTCAACTCCATAGGATCGTTTTTCCCGAACTCTATATTTAAATCCGTCAAATGGGATGTGTAGTCGCTCTGAAATGTAAAATATATTATATAATAATCGTTATTTAATATTTTGAAACTCACTATTAAGACCAGCTGTCCTGGTTCCAGATTATATTTCTGCATGCACTCCAAGAAAGGCATACAGAATTAATGTTAAATTCATCCAGCAGTTTCTGGTGCTCGGCCGTGAAGTAACTCTCGCGAATACCCTTCTCGTACTCCCCCAGTTCAACGACTCTTTTCGCAGAGGCCGCATGCCACTGGGCCAACTTCTTGAGTGCTGCCTCCACTTCAAATTGTTCCAAGCCCTGAGTTCTGTCGGCATTCCTGTATCCCTTTTTTCGCAGATCCTCCAACAGAATGTAATCGATTTTTACCGAATTCCCTGGAAACTTCAAATGCACAGGCTTGAATTTCGGTGAGATTGCAGTGTTTTTGGCATACAGGTCTTCCAGCTCTGGGATCAGATGATCGTACATGTCTAGTTCGGCATCGAACATATCCTTAAAATCGTTTTCCTCACCTTCCGGAACCAAGGGAATCTTCAGTATGTAGCTGATATCTTCGGTGCTATCATCTGAATCTTATCGTAAGTTATTTAACAAGACCATCTCGGCATTCCTACTCACCGTTCAGCTGCATTTCAATTTGTATTCGTAGCACGATCGTCAAATAATTCTCCCCTTTACTAATTGCCGATGTTGGAACGAATTTTAGTATAGCCTTGAAGTTTTTATTATTCTGTTCTAACAAGCCATGGAATAGCTCTTTGTTAACCCACTTCGGAGTTGCTTGGTCTGTCATTATATTAACTTTGTTTAGATGCGCTAACGTCTGATACCGATGCCTTCCAAGTTCCAATTGGACCACAAAATGTTTCTCCGAATAAAAGCTTTTTATATTTCTCTCTTAAAGGTCTGACGTCATTCTTTATTTTACACACGCTCAATTTTTAAGAGAGGATATTGCACTTAAAAGACAATTTGAAATACTTATCACCAAAGTAGGATGATTTTTAAAATTTTCGTGCCTAATACATATATATGTTATGATCTTGCATCAGACTCATAAATTAACGGAACCTATGGAATCATTCTAAATTAAGCTTTATTGAGTCCATTATCAATTAGCCTTAAAATAATTACTTTATGACTTGGCATTGTGAATAAAGACGTGCCTCCTTAATTTGTCCGGTCGTGCAAAGTCCTTGGCGCAAAAGGTGCACTGGTAGGGTCTTTCACCGGTGTGTTTCCGGCGGTGAACCTTCAGCTCGTAGTGGACCGTAAAGCGCATGTCACAGAGATCGCACTTGAAGGGCTTTTCGCCCATATGGCGCCGCATATGAATGTTCAGTTTGTTGGGCGTCAGGGACTCCAGGCCGCACAGCGAGCAGAGATACTTCTTTCCCGGATTCTTCTTGGCCACATGCATGTCCCGGATGTGCTTCTCCAGGCTGGGCTGCACGACAAAGGATCGCCAGCAATGGGACACTGGTAGCGGAAGCGCCGTTTCCTTCTCAGCGAAGGCTGCTGCTCTGGAACGGTGGGCTGCTTGGGATGTTGGGTGGCTAGGTGCTGGGTCAGGTTCTCCTCCCACATGAACTTGTAGCCACACCGCGAGCAGACGAACTTCTTCTCCGTGTTCATACACTGGCTGCGAAGGTGTTGATCCAGCATGTGCTGAAAGTAGATAAATTAAACGAATAAACAAAATTGTAAAATAAGAATTGCAATCTTACCTTATCCACAGTCTTAAAAATGCAATGCTCGCAGGAATGTGGTATTTGTCGAAGCTGTGTAGCGAATACTGGTGCTCACTCATTTCCCGACGTCGCCGGAAGTTCAGATCACAAAGGTCGCAGGTGTACGATCTGCCCGTGCTTTCTCATCACTGTCATCCGTATCCTCCAGCAGGAGCTCAAAACCTGTTGCAGTGCTAATCATGTAGGCCGATGGCTGATCGCTGTGGCCCTGCATCGATATGTGCCTGCGCAAATCCGCCACGCTGATGAACTGGATGTCACACATTTTGCACTGGATGCTCTTCGGTCCAGCCGGTTTTGACGCATCCGCAAGCAGGGTTTCAGCCAGAGGAAGATCCTGACCAGTGAACCCATGCCTTTGCAAGTGCTTGTACAACAGGGCAGGGCGGTAGAAGGTGCGAGTGCACCAGCGGCAGGGGATGAGCTGCATGCTGCTATCCCGGTGCATCATCAGTTTGTGCTTCGTAACTGCACTCTTGTCCTGGAAGCTACGGGAGCATTGGTCGCATGGGTAGGTCTCTTGCTGAAATGGATAAAATAAAATTAAAACGATTTCTGTTTTGATTTTACATTTTAAATTACGTATCCCCTTAAAAAAATAATCAAGTAAATAAAAAGATAAATTTGTGGTCTTTTAGTGCTACAGATTTTGTGGAAATCTAATTTAATTTATATGTCTGGTGTAAAAACGGTAAACATAAACAATGAACAAAGAAAATTAAAATGATTAATTGCTAATAGGTCCTTTGGGAACGACAACTTCTAATTATCCTTTGATATGTACAGCTCCTCACCTTGCTCTTGTGCTCGACGAGATGGGCGCGGAGATTCCGGCGCCAAAAGAATCGCTGGGGGCACTTGTCGCACATGAAGCGCTTCAGAGTGTTTTGGCATAGCTGGCTGGTGTGGTGCTCCAGCAGCTGTGCACTGAGAAACCGCGAGTCGCAGCGCTGGCAGACATGTGGCGCGTCCAGCCAGGTGTGCTCATTCGGTGATGCTGGTGCAACAGGTACTTGCGCGGCCACCTAGCCTCCGGAGAGTCGCACAGCTCGCAGGAATAGCTTCGCCGAATGACAACATCCGATTCGCCATCGCCGTCACTGTCCGTATCCGAGCTGTCCAGGGTCATCTCGTAGCGCGCTTGATTTGTGATGGAATAGTAGCGACCATATACGCCCATCCTGAGATCCCGAAAGATCCGCCGCTTCAAACCCTCCGCAGTGGACTCCACGGCAGTCTTGAAAAATCCTTCCGCAATGCGCTCAATAGGCTCGCCATGCGCCTCGAAGCCGAAATCAGTGGGATGTGCCTGCAGGTGATCCCTCAGCTCCCGCAGTTTGGTGAACCGGCGTAAGCAGATCATGCATTTGATTTCCTTGGCGCCATTCGGCTCGCAGCGGTGGTAGTCAAAGCCATCGACTCTTCGGTTGATCCTCGAAGGCTTAGGGGGTGATGCAACTGCCGAGGCCGATGTGGAGGCCAGTGGCTGATCGTCCTCGGAATCCGACTGCTTGTCGGACTGTTTGTCAGAGTGCTCCTTGTGCTTGTGCTTGATCAACTGACAATGTACTTGTAGGACTTGCTGCACTGATCGCACTTGTAGTAGTTGTCCCCGCTGCTGTTGCCATCCTCATCCGACAGTCTGGACAAGAGATTAATTAAATCTTTAAGTAAGGTCTAGCAAACATGCGGGCAAAAAGTAAATGGCACACATATTAAGCAAAACAAAGGATTTCCGGCTAGGATCAACCCGCATAATGAGTAATTACAATAATCTTACTCCACTGCCTTGATGATACTGTGCACCAGGGTGTCGTTGTTGGTTCTGCTGCGATGAGTGGAGGTTCCAGAGGTGGAGGCTGGACTAGATGGACTGGCATCTTCGGGCAATGTCGATGGCCTTCCGGGTAACTTTCGCCTGGACGTCTTGGAGGGCAGGAGACTGGCTCCATGCTCGCTGTGCTTGTGCTTCACCAGCGCCATCACGTACTTGTAGGTCTTGTCGCACTGGTCGCACTTGTAGTAGTCGTCTTCATAGCTAAAGTAAGGAAACATAAAGTAAGCACTTTAACGATTAACTCCAAATAGGACTATATAGCTTACTCTTCCCCGTTCTTTCCGAGAACGCCATGATCTCTCTGCTTGTGGCGATACAGATTGGTGACATATCTGAAGGCCTTGTTGCACAGCTCACAGACATTCTGCTTCGCCGGCTCAGAGGCGCAGAGCGAGGAGGTAATCTTGCGCTGGCGCAGGGGTACATCGTCCTGGTCGTCATCCGAATCGCTGAAGTGCACGATGCTCCGCTTGACGAAGCGCGTGCGCACGAGAGGATCAGCCTTGACCACTTGATGCGTGGCATCCAGTTCCTCGGTCTTGATGGTCACGCCCTCTATTTCGAACAGGTGGATCGGTGTCTCGCGGAGGCACTCCAAGGCCTCGGTGCCCTTTTTTCATCGTCCCGTCCACAGAGTCCCCTAGTTTCTGCACCCACAGCTCGTGCGTTTGGCGCGCCTGCAGCACAAAGTCGTAGGCGTTCTCCAGCTTGTCAGCGCACCCACTGCAGAGCCACTGTGGGAACTTCTCCGATGTGCCATGGCCACCTTTTGGGATCGTTTAAGGCTAATTAATATCAATGCGGGCGGCAATTGGATGACAAAAGGACAATTGACCCACCTCGATGCGCGTTAGCTCGACCAGCAGCTGCCCGAAGGTCTTCTCCGCGTACTTCTCCACGGGCGTCTCAATCCAGTATCGACCGTCGTCGCCGCCACATATTCTGCAAGTCCGCGTCATCTTTTAACACATTTATTTAAGTTTTTGCTAAAGATTTTAACAGCAAAAAGTTTCTGGACTGAAAATAACAGCTGATTGGTAAGTGTTGCAAAAGGCGCGTTTTTAGTGGAACTCAGCTGTTTGCAAGCCACGGTCATACTAAAAAGGCTCTTGTTGCATTTCCTTGATTTTTGCAATTATTATTTGTTATTTAATAAAATATGATGTGTAAAGTGAGTTTTTTGCCTGTAATATAGAAAAATGCTTCCCCCGGACATTTGTCGCACCTGTGCGCTGCAAAACGGCCAGTTGCTGCCCTTGTCCACCTGCCTGGACAGAGACGCCTCCAAAAGTTACTATGATGTGCTCCAGGAACTCACGCAAATGGATGTAGTGCTATAACCGATGATAATGAATTACTAACCTTATCCATCTCCAGAGCCAGCTGGGAGCTCGGATGATAATCTGCCGCAGCATCTGTGCACCGATTGCTGGACGAGATTGGAGAATGCCCACGCCTTCGTGGAGCAGGCCAAACGGGTCAATGGAGAGCTGTTGGCTCGCTTTAGGGAATGTCTGGATGAAATGCCCATCGACATCCCCGAAGAGCAGAACATAAAGACCGAGGTGGACCTCGACGATGAGGGCAACAAGTGCGAGGTGGATGTGGACTCGGCGGCTATGGACATCAAATGGCAGCCGGAAAGTGCCAGCGAGGAGGACTTTCTTGACGCGGCGGAAGTGATGAGTAGGTGTACTTCACTTTTGTAATCCAAACTCGAATAATATTGTAATTCCCCCATAGAGATGAGGTGGACAAGAAGACCTATCATCTGCGACGAAGTTCTCGAAAAGTGAAGCTGGCAGTGGAAAGCGAAGATGAGGAGTAAGTCAAGTTTGTATCATTTTCAGTTTTAATGGCAAAACTAAAGTCATTTTCCCATTCAGTGTTAAACCATCTGAACCCGAACCGACGCCCGTCAAGCGGCGGCGAGGACGACCGCCCGGTCCAGGTAGGAGCCAGTCCATGACCACCGATGGCCGCCATGCCTGTGATGTCTGTGGGAAGACTTTCTCCTGGTACCGTGACATGCAGCGCCATGCCAGGATCCACTTCGAGCAGGCCTCGTTCGTGTGCGATACCTGTGGCAAGGGATTCCTGCGGAAGGACAAGTACATGTTCCATCTTCGATGTCACAAGAAGCGCGAGGCCAAGTGGAAGGCTCTCCAGTCGGGAAAAGAATGGCGATTCGCTGAGCGTCTATACAGTTCCGGCAGGTTAAAGAAAATCGAATGCAAATTGTGTGGATTGAGTTGCCAGCGAATGGAGGAACTTCGACTTCACATCAAGACTCATGTGGACGTGGAGAGCTTGGCCAATTTGAGGAAGGATAGCGATGTGGTTAGGGAGCACTTTCCCGGCTTTCCGTGCGACCTGGACGCTATTAAGCGGCAGATCTGCGCTGATATAGCCGAAGGGCACTCAGAGAAATTTGCCTGTATTGTGAATTTCCACGGTTATGAGTTGGGACTCGGTGATTCCGATGAAGAATGTGAAAACAAAGAGTCAAAATATCATTGCTTTGTGTGCAATTTGTTCTTCACTCGCAAACATCGCATAATGAAGCACACACTGGAGGAGCACTCTGAATCCGCTTCATCGCTTCCTTGGCAGCGTTGCAGTTCCTGCAAGGTTGGTTTCCTGTGCCTAACACTTTACAACGAGCACTTAAGCACCCAATGCCACAGCAAATTAAAGCGCTATCGCTGCCGTAAATGTCCCGGAAAGTTATGTGGCCGGAAAACCTGCAAAACCACGGATGCTCCCATCGCCTCGAGGACAAGACTGTACCCAAGAAGATAATGTGCTCCTTGTGCGATGCTGCGCTACCCAGTTTGGCGCAACTTCGCGGTCACCTAATAACTCACCAACACGATTTAAATGGCATTAGTCCGGAATTTAATTCCTCCTTCTTTAGCTCTTTTTATCCTGATGGATTGGACTGCACTACCTCGGACTGGCTGCTCGTATAGCTGAGGATTTCGAGGTCCAGGACTTTGATCGCTACTACAACATCTGCACTGAAAGTGGACAAGAGCTGGATCTTTTTGATTCCGAAACAGAGCAGAGCGAAGAGGAGACCAAGCATACACCTGTCTTCTATGCGGAGAGGTTGCGAGTACACTCACGACTCTGATGCAGCACCAGAAGACCGTGCATGCCGATGGGATTAGTGATCTTCCCTGTCCCTGCGAAAATTGTGAAGCTCGATTCGTCAGCAAAGACCTTCTGCAACAGCATCGAAGGCACCGTTGCGCCAAAAACACTCTCGATTTCACTGCCAGAGTTGCAGTATCCGATTCGTGTGGCAGTCAAACTATGAGAAACATCTGAAGACTCACCATAGCAAAAATGATGATGACGAGCATGGGGCCACCAAGTTGCAGTGTGACGAATGCGAAAAGGTAAGGGCCATCTTTTACCACTAATTATAATCTTCTTAACCGTCTAATTTTTAATTTTCAGGTATTCATCTGGCACAAAGATCTCAACCGTCATAAGCGACTGCATCAACCTCAATCCGCTGCCCAGTTTGACTGTCCACATTGCCACCGCAGGTTCCATCGCAAGGATGGCCTAAAATCCCACCTTAAAGTGCATGCGGGAGAACCAGTTCAAATTAAGGAGCACCGTCCCGTCCCCAACGTTATCCAAGGACTGGCGCTTCCCGGCTTAGTCGTCCCCATGGTTGCAAGCAGATTCAGTGCATGATCTGCCTCTCACGTCACTCAAAGATCAGTGATCTAAGGACTCACATGAGATCTCATCAATATGGATTAAGTTTTTCCGAAGATAGAGATATTCCTAGTGCCTCGAGGGCTTTTTATCCAGAATTGGAAACTGCTTAGAAAGAAACGAGCTTGCCGAACGGATTATGGCTGATGTGCAGAAAGAATTCGAAATGGATCGATTTATTTCATCACAAATGAGGCTGGCCTAGAACTGAATCTCGATAGCAGCGAAACTGATACTGAGTCTGAGCAAGAGGAGCTTCAACCAGCACAAAGCTATGCCTGTAATCTATGCAACGCGGTTGTGAGAAGAAAGTATCAGTTGTATGCCCACCAGCTTGCGGAGCACAAGTGGGAGGACGCCTTTCTTGTATGCTCCCTTTGCCAAGCTAGATTTGTTAACGAATCTTTGTTAGATCGTCACTCCAGAACCGTCTGTCACAATGCGCAGAAGTTATTTCAGTGTCGCAAGTGCCCGCTTCGTTTCCGCTGGAAAGAGAACCTTAAGCTCCACATAAACCTGTTCCATCAGCATGTCGAAATTCCAATCCAGGATGATGCTTCTCAAGTCGATGGTGATCTGAAGTGCGAAAAGTGCCCGCGCAGCTTTAAGATGCAGAAGGATCTCACGCGTCATAATTAATGCACGGCCAGGAATCAACCATCTTCCGGTGCCGTTGGTGTGCACGTCGCTTCTATCGCAGGGCCAATCTCCTACAGCATATCGCGCGTCATGGGATAAGTGTTGGCCAGTTGCCTTATGCAGAGGCAATTCTGGATGCTTACGTGAATCCTGGAGGTCGGAAAATCGTGGAGTGCCGCGTGTGCAGTGTGAGCTTTCCTACCATCTCGGCCCTGCGTTTGCATCTAGAAACCATGCCTGCAGGTAGTCACCATGACTTTTCATCACTTCAGAACTACTCGATTACCAATCAGATGGGTTACGAGATGGATTTGGATGACTCGGAGACTGATGATGATGTAGCTAGGACACATTCTAAACCACCGGGTGCCCCTGATTTCTACACATGCGGTATGTGCCAACTGAGGTGTTCGCGGAAATTCGAGCTCTATCAACACCAGCAGGCCATGCACCGGACAGAGAAGATCCCCGACGGCTGTAACAGGTGCATCTTTAGAAGCGTCTGCCCCGAAATAATTTCTCACCATAAAAAGACGCAGTGTGAGAACCGGGAAAAGCAGTTCACATGCGCACGCTGTGGCTACAAGTTCATGTGGGAATCTAACCTATTGCATCATATGGAGTTGCACCATGAAAAGGTAGAGGATCAAGAGCTTGATGAATCTAAGGAGGCGTCTGGTGATGAACCAAAAGCCGAGAACCAGGTATTCCAGTGTGGTCTTTGTACAAGGAAGTACAATCGCAAGGATCGACTCACAGCGCACTTAAAGAAGTTCCATGGGCCAGAAGGAAAGGATTCTAACAAAGTAAAGGTCTCGAATAGACCCACATCTCCTAAGGAACCAAAACGGTTTCTGTGTGCCTTTTGTGGCAAGGCGGTCAGCTCCTCCTCAACCTGATCATCCATATGCGTCGCCATACCGGGGAGAAGCCTTTCAAATGCGATTATTGCACAATGGCCTTCCCCCGATCCTCTGACCTCCAGTGCCATCGTCGGACGCACACCGGCGAACGTCCACATGTGTGCACCGTATGCCAGAAGGGATTTGCTCGCTCCTACAAACTGCAGCAGCACATGCGAATCCACAGTGGAGAGCGGCCCTACAAGTGCACCTATTGCGAGAAGAGCTTCACGCAGTCCAACGACCTGACTCTCCACATCCGCCGGCACACAGGCGAGCGGCCATACCAGTGCGGAGTCTGCGGGGAGCGTTTTATCCAGGGAACCGCCCTGAAGAACCATCGCATGCAACAGAGCCACTTCGAGGAGGGACAGGAATCGGGGGAGCCTACGAGACGCACGGTTTTGGAGCAGTTTACTGTATAAGATAAAGAATAAAGGGAATCCCTTCATTGTTAAGCTGAGTTTAATTCAATGGATTCCTTTTTAAGGTACCATTTTTTTTAAATGTATGGTATTAATAAGTTTAATTTTAAACGTCTAGAGATTTTTAACAATTTTATACATTCCGTTCATTATGTATGTCCTCAAAGACCTAATCATATTTTAATAACAATAAAATGCTCATAGAAACAGAGAATATTAATTTTTAAGTCATATTTTTTTTATTGAAAATTGGAAATTTACAAAACCGTGAAACTACCAGCACGAATCGGGTTTTCCAAGCTCTCAGGGGTTGTTTCACCTGCGATAGTACCACCTGCTTTCCATTCTCGATATTAATCGCCCAACGTCACCTTGACAACCGATCCAAGTGGCTTTGTCCTATCCGTTGACAGTGAACATCCACATATAAAACTACGAACAACCAGAGGAAACGGCAGAAAAGGAGGATCGAGTCGGAAACCAGATGCATGATCTCGCGAACACCCACGTTAAAATTTCGTTTCAAAGTTTAACACTCCCCAAATCGAAAATTGTCAAGTCTCGCCGACGTCTGATCCCCGTACACAGAGATGGTCAATCGTTATAAAGGGTCTCGTTCGGTAGCGGCCAGCGATGGTGTGAGTGCCAGCTCCAAAGATTCCGACCAGGTCTATTGCGTTCTGCTTCACGTGGTCGAGGGTGAGTTAAAAAAAATTAATAAATCATTCTTTATGATAATACTTGTGCATTCTTTATACAGCGATCAATTTCGTGGGGCGCGATGCAACCGAAAGGGAGCAAATAGTGATGAACGCCGCGCTAAACACCGTGGACTTCGAAGTGGAGGGCACCCAGTCGACCGAGAAGATCATCTTCAACAGCAACTGCATCTGGGAGTGCGACATGGCGGGTATCAAGCGCATCAAGACAGACCATCGTCCTGTCAAGTTGACCTTTTATGCCTGCCGTGGAGGCGGGACGGATCGGAAGACCGTCGGAAGCCTGCTTCTGCCAATACGAGGCCTTCCAGTGCTCAGCACTAGCGGCAGTCAGAATTCACCACATCTAAAGATGTTCTGGCACAAGCTCATCTGCATCAGCAGCGAGTTCCGTTCCCAGAAGCCGGAGGTCCTGCTCATGCTGGCCATCATCAAGAAGTCCATTCTGCACACCAAGGACTTTGACCACCTTATGCAGTTCACCGAAGTAAGTGGCTTGTAAAGTACTTTAGTCATGTATATCAGTAATATTAATACATTCCATCAGGTGAAATCGCCTCCCACACCACCAATGCAGTCGCCAGGACACTCGATAACTGCCAGCATGCTCCAGTCCCAGGTGAGTTGAATATTTTCTGATCTAATCTTTATCCAATTTAACGTATTATTGCAGGCCAACGTCTATGTACAGTCGTTGGTGCAACTGGGCCTGCTGCAGGTGGGCAATGATCCGCTGGTCGACTGCGACATCATCGAGGTGGTGCTGCAGCTGAAGCAGCTGAAGAATGTGTCCCGGCTGGTCAAGTCAGTCAACCAGGGCAGGGACCCCGGCTCGGTGATCCTGGTGTTCGACTTCGTGGGAAATGTAACCAACATCGAGCTGAAGCTAAATGAGTCCGATTCCTATATCCTGAACGATGTCCTCGGGCTGCGCTTTAAGACATCCTTGCGCAGCATGAGGCTCTACTTTCAGCGCATCTTCTATCTGCCCATCAACATGTACATGAACGGAACCGCAATAGGTGGGCATCTAATTTGAAGATACATTCGGAATTGTGTAATAAGTATCCTTATCATTTCACAGCCAACTATCGCATGGACTTCAACAATCTACTGCCTCCGGACAACTACTTCTCCGACAAGCAAAAGTACACTTACAACGGATCCTTTTCATTTAACCGATTTGGCAGAACGGATAGTGGTAGGGAACCCAAACCTCCTCTGATGGAGTACACATTTAGTGTGGATGTCAAGACGATACTCTCACGCCAGGGTCATGAGGAACCGGAATCAACACCTTCAGTTGCAAGCGGAGTTATCAGAGAGCCAAAGGATCGAAAAAATACCGCAGAAACATCACTGTCACTAAAAACTGCTTCAGTGGACAGTTTGAATGTGGGTGCCGAGCTGTCAGCCTCAGAAGGATCCTACAAATCTTCGCCACCGGAGGATATGCACGACTCCGATGGACCGGCGGATCTACCAAAAACTCAGATTAGGCGGAAAAAGTCCACCCGATTAAATAGTAAGGAGGGCAATCTGGAGAGCGAAGATGAGCAGTATCTGGGCCAGAGATTTTCCGCGTTGGTAGTTCGTGAGGGTTTAATTTTAAATGAAAATGAAGAGGCACCAGTATCGAAATCTAAGGAAAATGACCGCTTGTCAGATGAATCCGAAACTGAACCTGCTAGTATAAAGTTTTCAAAAGTAGTCGAAGAAATCAATGATCAGATGAGGCCTACAATGAAAACAACGGCAGAGGAATCTCCAAGACATAACGCACGACTGCTAAGAAAACCCAAGATTACGTCCCAGGGATCGAAGGGGTCAATTAGGGAGTCTTCACAATTTAAAATCAAACCAACAACGAATCCCAGTCCGATTCTGGAGGAAATGGACACCGAGAATTTTGAAGAACTAAATTCCCTATACTTGTTTGAGCTCGAAGAAAAGAGGCAAGCCAAGGAAGCTGAATTAGAGTTCATGCGGAGGCAAATGATAAAGGCAGGTCAAGCAGAATCTTTACAAATGCCAATAGATCGTAAAATAAGAAAAACCAAAAAGGTAGACATTGAAGTAGAGGGAAGTGAAAGTAATCTAAATATAACCGATGAGGTCATATCGATATCTCCAAGTAAACTCTTCTCCAAAGATAAAGTGAGCAAATCAAAATTGAAAACAGGATCTAAAACTGAACTCAACGAAGTTCCTTTAACCCAGGAAAACCTATCTAAATTAAGAAACCATACCATTTTACAAAAGACAAATAAAGTCTTCGCAGAGGATAGCTTCGAAAGGAGCGAAGAGGACTTAAGTTATGGTCAAGACCTTCCTGAAAAACGAAATTCCCCCAGGGAAAATTTAAGAAAAAACCCAAGAGCCCCCAAGACTGTTAAATCGTTAGATTGCATAGACACAGATTTAGAAACTGACATAAGTGTCCTTAATGTCCGAAACAAAGGTAAAACCAAATCTAAATTGATGCTTCCTGAGGAATTGGATGACTTTGGAGAGACGTCTACCAGTACACAGGGAACCAGGAGACCCAAAACATCTAAGGGCGATCTAAGCCTTCGAGCCCGTTGGGTAGAGGTTAATAAGGCGCAGACGCAAGCCTTGGGTGAAACCGAAAAGTTTCTGCAGGAGACCTGCCGTGCCGAGCTCGACGAGGTCCTTTACGAGGATCAACTGGCGCTCGGCCTGGCAAAGCCTCCTAAGGCAAAAAAGAAACTTGGAAAAGCCAAAGAGACAAAGTCAAAAGCGTAGATTACGAAAGCTCCTATGTGGAGGAAATTACTTACTGTGAGTCTGAAAGGGATCTCGTCGATAATCCGGTACATCAAGTGGAGTTCGGAAGTTCCGAAGAATATATCTCTCTGTCGGAAGGCAATTCAAGAACAGGGGAAATTATTTGTTCAGAAACGGAACTCCGGGATTTACGTGTTACCTTTGTTCAATCTAAAGGAGTGAAGAAGAAGTTAAGACCATCATCTAGCAGCGACCACCCAAACCAGATGGACCCCGAGGAGTATATTTCTATGTCTGAGAGTAACTTAAGAACCGCTGCTAAGAGAGATCGTGTTAAGACAAAGATGAGGGCTCCGGTAGAAGAGTATCAGGAAAGCCAGGTGGAAATAAGAACAACCAGCGAATGTATTCCTCAGGAGGAAGTCCGAAGAACCGACCGTGTAAAAAAAAAGAAGAAAACCACACTTGATGTGGAATTTACCAGTTCCCAAGAATTTATCTCAATGTCGGAAAGTAATGTAAACTCCGCAGAGGTGATTAATCCAGATATTGAACAACGGGATGTACAAATCCTTAAAAAGAAGAAACTTAAGAAGACTTTAATAAATGAAGATCCTGTCAATGATTACGAAGAGGAATCAGTTAAGCCAGTGAAAAAAAAGGTAATCAGGAAAAAGTCATCGGTTATATTAGAAGATAAAGATCCTGTGGTCGATGATTACGAAACTCTGGAAGAGGAATCGGTAAAGCCAGTGAAAAAAAAGTTAATCAGGAAAAAGCCATCGGTTATATTAGAAGATAAAGAGCCTGTGCTCTATGATTACGAAACTCTGGAAGAGGAATCGGTTAAGCCAGTGAAAAAAAAAATAATCAGGAAAAAGTCATCGGTTATATCTGAGAGCATTGAACAATCGGCAATCATTAACCCTACAGAAGAAGTGGTTCATACGCAGCCTAAGAAAATAGTTCGGAAGAAGGCAAAAACTGTGTGTGACAACCAATTCGTTGAAGAATATCCGAAAACTAAAAAAGTAGTCAGTTCTCGAAAAGAGCTCAAGAATTTAACCACCTCTGAAGATGATTTTAGCGTTGAACAGCCTTTAAAAGCAATCGATACAATAGGTCAGCGGGTCAAGTCGTGGCGAAGGCAACAAATAGACATTTTTGAGCAGGAGTTGGCGCGAAAGGAGTTGCACTATAAAAAGCAGTTGGAGGAGATGGAGAACCAAGAGGCCAGAGTACATCAACTAAACAAAGAGGACGCGAATCTGGATGAAACTTTTATCAGCAGTAGAACAAATGTGCCGAGCGTTGACTATGAGGCAAAGTTCAAAGAACTGGAGGAGCACATAGCCCTGTTGAAAACGGAGATGGAGGCACAGGTTAGGCTTTTTGAGAATCGGAGTGGAGAGCTGCGGCAGGAGAATCTTCAGCTTTACACCGAGAAAACGGAACTTAAGGTCCGCATCGCGGCCATGGAGCAGCAGATTGGAGACCTAAAGGCCAAGGGCTCCGACGATGGAGATCTGAAGGAGGTCCTTGGGGAACTAAGGACCCAGAATTTCCGATATAATAAACTAGCCAGCGAAAAGGAGCTCTACAGGAAGCGGTGGCGAAGATCTCTCAAGCGAGTTCACGCCCTCAAATTGGCTATGTACGAAAGGAATTTGGAGAGAGCTCACAACAGCATTAAAATCGAGTACGTTGATCTTTTCGATTATACATTTTGTTTTTAAACATGAAAATTAATTTTATTGTAGGCCCATTGACCTGCGAAAGATCCTGACCAAGGACGCCATGGAGTTTGAGCGGGAGTACGGACAGTTTCGGAAGAATTGTGTGTCTCCAAAATATGCCTTCAGCTCGCTGTCAGGATCGGGCGACTTTTCACCTCCAAACAAAAAGCGAGTGCCAACCAACGAATTTTAAAGACACGATACGGAGAAGACATTTTCCTAGATTTTACCAAATTAACTGTGTCACTTTTTTATTTCGTTTACTTTATTCGTTTTTTTTTTTTAGAAAAATATACATAATATAAATATTAGACTATGCTCTACTCCAGTTGGAATCCTACGCGCACAAAGTAGGGCAGAGTGTCCAGGGGAGCGGCGTAGTCCATAACCCAGGTAGGTCCGGTGTATGCCTGGTCGCTATTACCATCCTTCCACTCGCCCTCTGGCAGGTAAATATCTCGCTTGGTCGCGCCCTCAGTTACGATGGGAGCAGCGATAATATCATCGCCCAAAAGGAACTCTGCGGGTATTAATAGAGAACATGATTACGTTAACAAAAATTGTAACAGTTGTAACTTTAGTAAGGGAATTACCATCGTAGATAGACTGCGCCACCTCATCAGTGGGGGCGATCCACCAGAGCGGAGCATTCACGGGTTCCCCAGAATCCACGGCGCGTTTGAAGAGCTTCATGATGTAAGGCGTGTAGCTGGCATGGAGGGCAGTGAAGTTCTTGCTGATCGCGATGGCCTCATCGTCAAAGCCCCACGGCACGAAGGAGAACTGCAGGGCGGGCATGAAGACATTAGCCTGAAGCCAGCGCAGGAAGAGCTCCTTGTTCGGTGGCTTCTCGTAGTAGCCATTACCACCAATCATGTCGGGCAGGACGAAGGGATAGCCATTGAGGTTCATTTGCAGCATCGAAGAGATCAGCGTGAGCAAGCCATTGTTCCAACCCCACTCGGAGTCCTTGTCCACGATGCGCACGAATATGGGCTGATCCTGGGTGTTCTGGGCCGATCGCACTTCCACCATGTCGCCGAAAGCAGCCACAGTTCGCACGTAATCTCCCACCGCCTGCAGGGGAGTCACCATGGAACTGCTGGCCTGCAGCACTGGATCACTAGGTAGCCAACTCGTCTCTCCGGCATCGAACTTGAAGCTATCGATGCCATCCTCATCTTGCAAACGCTTCAAACGTTTGGTGAACCACTCCTGAACCGCAGGTTTGGTGAAATCCAGAATGGCCGCATCCTTGGGCTTACTGTTCCACCACTGTGTATCGGAGCTGCCCTGGTGATCGAGCACCAAATAACCCAGAGACTTTGCCTCCTCGAAAATGGCAGTGCAGTTGTTGTTAATGAAGGGATGAATCCAGAGGGTCACACGGAAACCCAAAGCCTTGAGGTCATCGGTCAAGGTTTTGCTATCGGGGAACTTGTTCTTCCTGAAGGTCAAGGCCCCATAGCAATCCTCCCAATCATCATCGATTTCCAGCTGGCTGTTGTTGAAACCATTGTCCAGGATCTGTTTGGCAAAGTCCCGAACCACTTCGTCGGTCACTTCGGCTTTGTACAGAGCCCAAGTGGACCACACGGGGTGCCTGACCATTCGCTCATCGGGATAACCCGTGGGTAGTCCGTGGAAAGTTTTAACGGCATACTTATGAGCCGCCTTGGCATCCTTGGCCACAGCCACATGGTATACGAACTTGGCGGAGGTAACGCGAGGATCATAGGGCAGTTCACTGGTGGCACTCAGACACAGCTGATCCGGATAGTCTGCTGTATTCTGATCGATAAAAAGCGGAGTGTTGCTCTCCACATACAGAAAAGCTCCATCACCATTCAGCCAATATCGCTCTCCCACACCAAAGTTATCTAGTTCTTTGGGGAGGTAGGAGTAATTGCTGTGCCTCTGCCGCTCCACAGGCCAGTAGTGCTGCTTCTGCTCGGGACCACTAAACCAGTGCGTTGATCCCGTATTCAGAGAGAAACAATCCCTGGGCTGGCTGCCCTTCAGCACCTGATCTCGGGATACTTTCACATGGGTGATATCACTGCCCGTGCCGGAGACCACGCCACTTTTAACCAGAGTGAAGTCCACAGTGGTCGTGCCATCGGTGAGCTGGTAGCCACCGCTGCTGGTCTCCACCAGATTGGCGCTGCTCTCAAAGTTGTCAAAGGTCACAGTTTGCAGGGATTTGTCACCCTTCATCAGCTCGTACTGCAACTTATCACCTCGCCTCAGTCGCACGTAGATGTTGCTGTTGGGGAACTTGTAGCGCTGCTCGATGCTCGCACAACTGTGAACCGCCTCCCAGAGGCAGCAGGATGCCAACAGCAGGGATAGTAAAAGAAGCCTCATTTTCGTCCGTTTCACAAAACACGACTGACGGGCAGGTGCCAGTGCATGCTCCTAATATAGCCGCGATAAGGAAATCGATGAAATTCTAAAGAGCTATGGTCAGCACATTATACAAATAAAGCTCTTGAGTGTTGTCAACAAATTTCTCACCTGGGGAGAACACTTTAGACAGCCCCTCGATAACCCGGCTGATAAGCCCTGCCAGGGTCCAACCTGGCTTTCTATAATTTCCATTAGCTAATTGATTGCAGTCGACGCTGAGATTGCAGTTCACCTACATTGGACAACAAAATAAGTGTATCTCAACAAGGGTTCTATGAAAGTCAAGGACGGCCTCAACAGCAATCGGGGAACTTCAAATATCAATTTAAAGAGCTTCTTATCTTTACATAAACATTTTGAGAATTTCTCAAGTACTGATTCGCTACATCGCATCGATTACTTATATCTGTTAAGTAGTTGTAAACATTTGTTGTTAAATCATATTGTCATTGTGAAATACGTCATCTAATATTATGGTGACTCACCTATTCTTGTCCTTTTTCAACAGTCAATCATTAAACACTTAAAGTTAAATTATAATCTTTTTATTAAGGCATAAATATTACATATACTTAGTTCTGATTTTCTTTTTTTTATTTCTTTTTTGATTTTTTAATACTTTTAATCTATTTTGGCTTGAAATCAAGGAGCTATAATGCCGTCGAGTGTAACAAAATTTAAACCAAACATGTGATTGTCCGTGGCTTAGGATTTATATAATATTTCTGGTGGTTATGAAGGTGGCTAAATGCATGTCCTAACTAATATGATTATCTAGGGCACAAAATGACTGATCTCTTCTTTTTCGAAGATCTTTTCGCTGGGCGCTTCATCGCGATATTCAATCACATCACTCTTTTTCCCCAGGAAATGTGCCCTAAATAGTTCGTCTTCGTTATCAGAGTCACTTTCGTCGCCGGCCATCAGAGATACTCGGGAGTAGAGTTCGTTGGACCGGGCCATTGCCCTCCGATGATAGACGATGCCTCCGGCAACTGCCACGCCCATGAGGGTGAAGACCACCGAAACCAGGAGAAGCACAGTGGTGCCAGTCATGTATTGTTGGGTACTGCGATCACCCATTTCAGACATTTCCACCACACTGGCCATTCCCGTGCTGCGAACCACATAGGCATAGCAGAAGGTCTCGTTTGAGATCTTCCGGAGTTGGCTGCCCGCGGAGCAAGTGCTGCACTGGGAGACCAGAGGTCCATGGCAGGCCAAGCAGCTCCGGTCACACACGGCACAGATCCGAGCAGGTGTCTCAACCAGCGGGGTGAGGGTGGTGAAACTGCCACTTCGACGACGACGACGGTCCTCCGCCTGCAGAGGATCCTGCTTGTCGTCTATGCTGTTGGACATCATAGAGGGATGATCGGTTGTGGGACTGCTGTAGGGATTCACAGGTCCTCTGCTCACATCGTCGTCCAGATCTTCCTCGTCCACTTCAAATTTATCAATTGGATAGGTGTGCACGGGGCAGACATCATAGCACAGATCCTCGTACATAAAAGCGGTTTCGTTGCACTCTGCGAAAGGTTGAAAAACAAGTAATTATAATATTTATTTATAAACCAGGTTGGCTAGGAAGTGATTTACCTCAGCGACAGTTTTAGCGGAAAAGGAAAGTTAGAAAATTAGTCGGTTAGAAAGAAGTTTTTTTAAAGCTTAGTAAATCTTAAACAAAATCAAAATGAGCAATGCTTTTTGTGCGTATTGAGAGCTTAAAAAAAGAATAATAAATGTAAACGTAAAAACAACAATGTTAAACATCCTTTTTTAAATCAATGACTGTTGACTGTAACTTTGTACATTTCGCTAGTGTAAAATAAAATACTGTAGAACTAATACAACATCATAACTTTAATTATAAACGTTATATCAAAATTGTGACCTTAACGAGAATATTAATTGTACAGTAATTTATTAATATTTTATAGAGAATCTTTTAATAGCGAACTTAGAAACTTAGTATTGCAAACACATTTATTGGCAACAAAAAATTCAAAGCAAGCTCAGCCGGAAAAACATGCTCAAGAAGAACAGAAAGAAAAATCATAAAAGCAGTGTGCGATTGAAAATGGCAGCATAGGTGTGTTCACTGTACCTCCACCACAAAAAAAAAACACTAAGCATGGACATGAGAATGTAGGTTTTTTATTGTGTTAAAAAAGTAACAAACATAACGAAATAAACGAATTAGAAAGTGGTTAATGTCACACAACAGTGCGGGGAAATTAAACTTTTCCTTTTAAACCAAAAAAAGAAGAACGAAACAATAGTTAGGATGGAACCACACTCACCTTGTCTGCAATCTCAAAACCTCAATGGGAATTTGTGAACTCTATACTGCAGTCGAAGAAAGTATGACAAAAATACGGTGGAGAGCCTCTTCTCTCATCTCATATAGAGTAAATATATTTTTTGAGCATGTTTCGCTGGCTGCTTAGAATTTTTTGCCGAAAATAAATGGATTCAACAACTTTTTTTTTGCTTTTTTACGGTTTCAATGCATTTATTTATTACTCATATAGATATTATATTTATAGATATATACACAAACATACATAAAAAATTGTATTGAGTTTCGAATTGCGGCATTCTCAATTTCCATCATACCTACGAGGTTGTTTCACTAATTTAAGTGTTTAATTTCTGTTTTGTTTTCTTTACATTTAAAAAAGTTTAATTTCATTTCGTTTCCTTCCATTAATCGCAAGCATTAATTTAGTGTTTTGTTCCAATGTTATTTTACAATTTCATTTCGCTTTAAAGTTAATATATTTAATTGCTAGTTTCTACCCCATGCCCTAGTACCAGTTTAAGTTTATTTTTTTATTTCATTTTCTTATTTTTTTTTTGGTTTTTCACTTCTGAACGGTTCATTTAGTATAAGCTTAAATATTAATTTGGCTTTTTAGCTAATTACTTGATAGAGTAATTATGCTTTTCAGAGTTCAGTTTCCTGTGTATTCTGGTTCTTGAAGATAAATAAGTACCAAAACTGCGTGTGCGTTGAAGAACAACAGAATACGTGGAAACGGAGCAGAATTTTGTTGTGTTTTCTTAACGAAACTCACTTGGAAATTTGTTCAACATAATTTATCTTGGTACTTGCCAAAGTTTTTTGGTAAATACTTGTTGTGAGTGTTTGTGTATTGGCTTGGTTAATATTTTCTGTTTGTTCGCTGCTAGTGCGTATAGTATATACTGAGGAATTAGGGGTTAATTCAACTATTTTCGATTGCTTGTCAATGCAGAGAGATAGAGAAATGCTAGCTTTAGTTGGTTTATATCTTATGCTCTGGCTAAGTATGTGTGTGTGTGAGCGTGTTTGCTAATTACAACAACAACAAAAAGATACTCCTCCTTTACATCTCGCTATTAACTTGTTTATTAAATTAACATTTATATTTGTATTGTTTATTGTGCAGTTACGATATGATTATTCATACAACGAAAATGCATAGATATTGGGAACACATTTTTCTAAAGTCAAAAACCAATAGGATAGAAATATAAATCACAAAAGTAGATAAGAAAATTTTGATAGGATTTCGTTTAAGTAAACTAATTGTTTGTACTAAGTTCCGAAATTAAAAAAATATTAAATGATATGTTTTTGTTTATCGGTTTTATAAGAAACGAAAACCTTGTTAAGTATTTAGCTGCTGCTTAATACAGAATTAATAATAATTATTGCACTCAATTTGCTTTTTGATTTGTGTTTGTTTTTATATTAAAGATTTAAGTAAGCAACAAATTTATAACAAGGATATGTTGTGTGTGTGTGTGTTTTTGCATTATGGACAAAATAAACGGGTAATTCCGTGTAAATCGGTAATAATTTTGTGTTTTCACGTTTTAGATTCATGTTGCAACTTTGCTGAAAACTGCAGGAACTTTTGTATAAATTGTTAAATATAATTACGATTTAATTGTTTAGTGGTTGATGCCTACTTTTCATTTATTACGCTATGCTTTACCCCTACACCTTAGGTTATTATTTACTTGTTTACGTTCATTTTCCAAACCTTATTCTGGCTTTTTGTTTTCGTTTAATTTTTGATACAAAATTGGTTTGCTTTGCTTAGCGCCTTAACTCTAGAAATATTTCCATTACATACTTAGTTTTGGTTTTTCTTTTTCACATCTTTATTTTAACTCCATTGACCCATTTTAATTTACGCTTGTCCAAGATTTTTAGTTTTAATTTTAAGAAACAGTCTTTTACTATGAACTCTAAACTGCAGTGGTTGTTGTGTTTGTTGAACATTCAATTTTTTTGTTTTAGCTGCATGGCATTAAACACAATATTTCTTATACAAAATCAAAAGTCAAGAAGCGGACTCAAAATCTAGGCAAAGAAAGGTGAAAAGCATAATCTTGCGTACAGTGCCTTTCAAACTGTGGCGCGACTACTTGGCTGGCTTGGCAATATCTGAAATAATGCATTTAGTTTTCATGTACACATATATACATACAGATCGTTACACAGGAAAAAAATATGCAAATGTTTTCAGAAACATTGTATAGAATTAATTATTAAAAACCAGCTATTAATAAATAAAAAACCATATTAATTTAAACAAGTACAAGGATTAAAATGACATGAAAACATTTTTAATAGATGCTGGAAATCTCAAGTCTAAAGTGATCTTTATTTTTCCTGTGTACATGTGGGGAGCGTTTGGAAAAACATGGGAAAAAACAAATCAAACTAAACGGGCTTAAAACAAACACAAACAATCTAAACGAAAACAATCAAAAACAAGTCGTACAAATAAATTTCAACTAAATTCTTAAACATAACGTGTATAATATAGATATATATTTAGGATACGGTTTTTGTATATCGCTGCGTATAATTGCATTTCGACTAAAAATAATACAAAAATTTGCTTTGTGCGTCCCACTTCTCGACAAAAAAGGAAGAACAACCTTTTTTTTTTTTTGCCCTGCCACGCCTACTAATACGTGTGCGTGTGTGTTTGTGTTGCTTGTGTGTGTCGGTGTGTAAAACTAGACTTAGATTTAAATTTAACTACAAAATTTATAGTATGTATATTTTTTTGGACTTGCAGTGATTCTTCCTCCTCTCGCCTACTCTAAATTACTTATTATTTTCTTTTGCTTTGTTTATTTTTACTTTTTTCTTTTTTTTCGTCCTGTTGCCATCAAAACTTTTAAATGGAAATTCTTTGTTCGCTTTTCATCTCATTTCGGCTGTTTCGTTCTTTACACAGTTCAATTTTGTTTCTTGTCTGTTGCCAATTTCGTCTTTTATTTATTGCTAAATTATCTAATGCATTTGATAATGTGGTTCTTGTTGTTGTTGTTGTTGTCGTTGGCATGTTTAAAGTTTAGAAAGAAGACTTGCATGATCATAAAAAAGAGTAAGGACAAACCTAAGCACTTGCGATCGCTCCACTTAAGGCACGCGGCGGTGTTGCTGTGATCTCGGGCCATGCCCACCTCGCCCACCTGAAAAGTAGAGGGATAATAATGGATTAGTTAGGGATATTATATGGTCAGATGGCAAAGATGGTATAAACTGTTGGGGAAACTTCAATTAAAGTTATTCCTTTTAAGAATGGCATATAACATTTTCAGATTGGAAAGAAAGTCCTTAAACGCATATTATTAATATTCAGGTAAGTCCAATAAGTAAACTGTTTAGCCAGATAAAAGAAAAGCGAAGAATTCATCTTTAAAACCAAAAGACAGTGACGAAAAACGTAAAAATTTAAATAGTTTACAGTTTAAATATTGTAAATATTATTTAATTTAAAATAAGAATAAATTATGTTGATTTAACGTATTCAAGAGATCGTATTGTTACTATTATAATCAGGACTATATGTAACTGACCAAGTAACGACGAGATGCAAAAATTTAGATGAAATAACGCTTACTTATAGCAATTTTTGCATTAAAAAACTAGATAGTATATACAAACCTTTTCCCCAAAAATGGCTAAAAACGATTCTGTTGAGGTTATTCACAAAAATACTACCATAAATCCCAGAAAATACGAAAAGGATATAAATACAGAAAAATCCCCAACTTCTATTTAAAGTCTAAAGGCATTCCCTTGATTTTTTTTGGCCAGTCAGGAGTGGCTGAAAAGTTTTGCCCCGTCTGATTCCGATTCCCGTAGTTGTAGTTCATTGCATGTTGCCGCTCTGTCTGGCATTTTAAGTACTCATGTATGTGGCTCTGTCTGTCCTTATTTATAGCTGCCCCAACCAAAAAAGTCTGTCCAAGTCTATCTAAGTTCACATGCAATGACGTCGCGTGTTAGTAACGAAGGAAAATGGCTAGGACGAGGGACTTTTGAGGGGGGCCTTTAAAAGTGTTTGTTATGCAAAAAGTTTTTGCAGCCAGCCCAAGCGGTGGGGCGCAAAAAACTAAGGTCACTGCACTCGCCTCTATTACCGCACACCCCTTTTTGCCCAGCCGGTGGCGGAAAAAGCAACGCTTTTAAAGCACAATAGGTGCCAAAAGGTTAAAAATTGCTGCCTGCCCGGGGCAAGAGTGCACTTGAATAAAGCCCAGGCTTCCATGGGCTCGCAAAAGCCTAGGCAAAGTTTAGAAAAATGCTGATTCTGAGCACAGAGAAAAAAGCGCATTCCAATTTTGGAAATATATATGTAGTTTTTATAAAACTATTCCAATAAATGGTACAAAATATTATAGCATATTTTTTGATAGAGAATTACTTTTAAAAAACAAGACATCTGTATAAAAATGTATTGCTATTTTTTTCGGGTTCCTTTCTAGGAACACTCTTTCTAAAAGGGTTTCACAAAAAGATGTGTACCAATTAACCAGCATTAGTGATATTTTTTCTCTGTGCCCCCAATGTCCTGCTGCCCCTGAAAGAGGCCCTACAGCCTCTTTCTTGGCCCACTGCCAAAAAAGCGGGCTCAAAACCGGCTGCCAAAAGTGGAATTAAGATGCTGGCCGATGGTAACAGAGGGGAGGGTGAGGCAAACAGGACCAAAGATAACTGCTGACAGTGTATGCCTAAGTATTTGCAAATTTATGAGCGCTATTGGGCGAGTGCTTTGCATACTTTTCGGGGCCTGTGCATTGGCGCGTGCAGGGGAAATTCGTACATTAACAGCGAAAAAGGCATGCTGGCTGAGGGAAAGGACTACGGTCTTGCAAGGCAGCACAGTTTGCAAGGCACTGCGACTGACTGACGGTTTAATCAAGCTAGCCACATGCAAGCACGCAGCGTTGAGCCGCGATTCTGATGCGGGTTCTGATCACTACTTATCTCCTCGCTGCCCGACAAAGCATCTACAAGGCACTGCAAGACCGAGAAATAAACAGAACACGAAGGACAACGGGGCGGATGAGTACAGTGAAGGCTCTTATCCACTTATGGTGGAAAAAAATAGTCAGGGGCTATCTTTAATAGGTTGGTATTCAAAGTAAAAGTACTCAAACACTCTTAGAAAAAAAGTACGAAGTACATGTTTCAGATTAAAAAAAAATATAGAAAAAATATAGAGGTATAATTTGATTTATGACTATTTTTAAAAGATTAAATGTATACCATATTAGAATTTAAGACCTTATACTTATACTAAACACACTGAGTTTTAAAAATATATCTAGTCAACTAATAAAAAGTCAAGAAAGAGACATTAGCCCTTTATTTATGTTTTTTTACACATTTTACACATACACGTGCTCTCTCTCTTTGAAGATTATTGATTATTGATACTATATAACTCATAGACTATTCAAATTTCACTTTTCGAACCTTCACTGTACACCTTTTCTGTAGACATAAATTAAGACTTCCAAGCTGAGTGACTAATGGCTATTCATGCAGGCAAGAGGTTTGTTACACACCTCAATTCACAGGTGGACAATGGAAGGTGGACTTAGGACTTAGGACTCAGGACTCACCTGCTGCATATTTCTCCACTGGCCGGTGGAATCGTACTCGATGTCGTTGTGGGCCATGTCATTGCCGTACAGATTGAACTGGTTCGACTGGCTGGGATTGGCCACGTCCTCGGGTTGAGCGGGGGTTTCGGTGCCGTAGAATATCATGTCCCATTGTGTGATTTGTGCTGCAACGCAGAGTAGAGAAATCAAATGCATTTAGTTATTGCTGACTGGCCAAGGGCTCAAAAATAATCCAAATAAAATCGAAACATCTATACACAAAATCAACAACAAACGCAGCAAACGCAAAATGTTATAAAATGTATGATATATTGCAGATTGCAGGCGGGGCAAACAACAAGTCAAGTGAAGGGCCAATAAATCTGCCATATGAGCGATATATGTACTATATATAACATATATGGCGCAGATCAAGTGCCGAAAGCTAATCGCAACTTTCATCAACATTGGGGAAAATGGATAAAAATGAAAAATTGTTCTGCTGACAACCGGAGCAACAACAGTGCATGAGCCAACCAACCGAAAAAGCATTTTAAAGTTGCACTTTGATTGATGAAAGCAAACAGAAAGTGCAACTCAATGGTTGTCAAACTTTCATTGACGGCTACAAGGCGAAAAATCATAAAATACAAAGCGAAAAAGGTTTCAGATATGAGGAGTATTTTGACCTATGAAACTTGTTTAAAACTCTACGACTAAATTGATAAATAATCTATAATTCCTTAGATAAATATTAATTTCAGTAAAGTAGAAGATAGTACAATTTTAAAATGGTTCAGCAACAAAAATGAATAAAGCCTTTATCAAAAAATTAAATTACAAGACATTTATACAAAAGGTACGGGTATGCAGTATTACATAACTGAGCCGAAAGAAGTTTAGGTAAGAACACTATGATATTATAACTATTAATTTAAAAGATGAAAATACTAAGTGTGCTTTAAGAGAAACATAAAAATCAGAAGATGAAGATCCAAAAATTGATTGGCTACCATTTGGTCCGTTGACCTCCTTTCGGTGGTCCCTTGGTTCCTCGTAATCAGGAGTGGCCTGAACCTCCTCCATTTCCACCTCCACCTGGGCAGGAGCCATCACTCCTGCGGCAGCCATCAGTAATTGCTGCTTCTTCAGGATCTTCTGGTCGGGAAGGAAACTACTTCCGCCTGCGGGCAGGATGGGCAAAATGGAAAGGGTTGCCATCGTTTGCGAAGGCGGCGGCACCGATGGTGATTTCTTCGTGTTTCCCTGGCGACTGTTTCCCCCAGTGGTGGGTCTGAAGAGCTCCACCTCGAATTGCTTTCCCTGCTTGGCCTGCTTCGCCTTTCCCTTGGGTGAACTATTTTCATAGGGTTCCAGTTCCGGGAATATAGCCTGTATCTTTTCATAGCGCTCGAATAGTTTGGGTATACGGGAATTCGAGGACGAGGAGGAAGTGGTACTCTCCTTCACCTGCTTGGCTGCCTTGATGGATCCGTTGGAGCCATTGGTTGTCGTGATCTCGCCGACCACTTTACGGCTCTTCTCATCGTAGGATTTCTCGCCGGAATTTGCCTTAGGCCTTTGGGTTTGGACTCCATTTCTATCCTGTTTATTGTTCTTTTGCTGCTGTTGTTGAGAAATGCGGTAGTACTTATTTTTACTAGTGGTTGTCTGAATAATAGAGCTTTGGGTGGTTTGTTCCTTGCGATTACCACCACCCGATCCGCCAGATTTTCCTTTGTTACCATTATTAGCCTTGTTTCCCTTGTTATTAGTCTTCTCCTTACTATTATTGTTAGCCTTTCCATTTGCTTTACCCAAGATCACACCATATGTGGCAGAGATCTGTTGGTAACCCTGTTTGGGTGATGCAGGATTCAGCAGCGGATTGTTGGTCACATATGTCGACTTGTTTGGCGGAGGCACTTTGCCCAGCGGCAACTTGGACCCTCCAGATGGTGAGCTACCAAAGTTATTGGGCGGAATGCGTGGGTACTGGGGTGAATAGGCTTGATGCAGATTACTGGTGGTGCTGCTGCTATTCGGTGTGGTTGCCTCCGAACCACTAGGCCTGGGCACCGAGATGGGATCGTTGGGATCTATGCTCTGAGTGGTCCCATAAAAGATCAGTGACCATTCCCTGAGCAGAGCATGGCCTAGAGGTCCGGTGGGTGGGTTAATGGGTGGGTTTTTAAATGGGGTGTTAGGTGGATGAGTCGGTGGTGAGATCCACAAAAGCGCAGCATGTAAAACGGTACAGGTTTAAAGCATCGATCTGACAGCACAGTGTTTCTGAATAGGGGTGATTTCTTTTTAACTTACCCATATAGCGACCCTCGTTGTGGATCTCCAACTGCCAGTTGCCCTGTGGTGATTCTCCCCAGGTGTGCACCGACATGAAGGGCCACTGGTTGAAACCGGAACGGGAATTGTCATGGACCCTGGTGATTAAGATGATTAGTGAAAGTTGGGTTTACCCAGAAGCTGCTGGTCTTACCTAGGCGTTAGGAGCGTGACACTGGTGTTGGCCGGTGACCTCAAGTACAGCTGGATATCTCCGCGTCTTTGAGAGGTCAGCGTGATCTTGGCCTGGACGTGCTCCAAATAATTGACCGAACGGCAGTGGTTGACCGTGAGTTGCAGGGTGATGTGAGTGCGAGGTGGAATGACCCTGGTAAGTAAAAATATAAATAAGTATGGAAGAGTTTCGGGTAAAACTAGATCCTTTTCCTACTTGTCGACATGGGGGGCGTTGATCTCGCACCGCTGCTGCTCCGGCACCGACTTCCAAGACCGGGCCACACGCACCATCTCGGCGGCGTCCATCAATCCGTAGCCAAAGGAGTGGCTCACCCGCCGCCCCACCCCGTTGCGCGACCAACTGGGGTCCTTTAGATTAGCCGGCTTCGCGGTGCGCACCACAATGTGCTGCAGGTCGCGCCAGGTGAGATTCTGGTTGGACTGCAGCACCAGGGCGGCTATGCCAGCGGCGAGCGGGGCCGACGCCGAGGTGCCCGTGTGGGAGACAGTGCACGAGTGGTGCAGGTCCGTGGTGACCACCTGCTTCTCGCCCTGCCCGCCGCTGCTGTAGGTGGTGGCCAGCGTGGAGCTGCACTTCTCCGAGTACCAGGGCACATGTCCCTCCTCCGTGGCACTGGAGATGGACAGCGTCCAGATGGAGTTCGTGTAGCCGTCGCAGTTACAGTTATCCTGCTCTCGCCCACCATTGCCGGAGGCCCAGATGAAGATGCTGCCCTTGCCGCCGCGTCCCTTGGTGGTGCCCTCGATGAAGGCACGGGACGCCAGCTCTCCGGGTCCGTCCACTGTCTTGCCATCGTCATCGGGTCCCCACGACGCGCTGTAGATGTCGATGTGCTGAGGATTCAGTGATAGTGATCTAGCCTCCACCGCATCGGTGACATCGCCGTCCAGCATCCTCACTCCACCCACACTGGCTCCATAGGCAATGCCCACGGCACAGAAGCTATTGTTCGCCGTGGCTGCCACCTCGCCGGCACAGCGCGTTCCATGGCGATTCGAGTCCGTCATGTCGTAGTGCGGCATCGGATCGTCATCGTGGCTGTTCACATCGTACGAGGCCTTGGGGTCCTGTTTTTGGGATGTAGTGTATTAAGTTATAAATCATGAAGGGTCTTCTCTTTTTATCTTACGTAGTTATCCGTTATGTCAGGATGATCCGATTCCAGGCCATCGTCCAGGATGGTAACCACCACGCCCCTGCCGGTAATGCCCTGCTTCCAGGCGGGTATCACATTCATGTCCAGACCACCACCACGGTTCTAAGAAATACATTTTATATTTATAACTCACATTTTGAAATTTTGGGTTAAAGAAAAACCATTTTATAAAGTATTGGTTTTTACAAATTCTAAATATAAACATCTATTCTTACTATTTTTTTTGGTAATTTAATTGGACCTATCAATTCTTAATACTTTAAAGATATTCAAAATAATGTGATTTGGATAATATGGAAAACATTTAAGATTTTTTAAGCATTTTTAATGGTGGTTTGTGGTCACTTACCAGATACCACATCTGCGGCCACTTGGAGTCGTCAAAGGACATGGCGTCCACCATCGACATGGCCCTTGAGGAGGTCCTTGAAGGTCGCATCCTGATGAAGTCCCGCTTGGATCTCGACTTGGCCCGCTGCTGCTTCGCCCAGTGGACACGATCATCGTCGTCTAGGCGAGTTTGGTGATGAGTGGCGGGTGAGAGCGACCGCTTCGAGACCTTGTGATGTGCGAAGTGGTAGTGATCATCGAAGATCTGCAAAGGAAGGTGATAATGTGGATTATTATGATGTTTGAATAAAATACAAATATTTTGAACATTATTGTAGATAGCAGTCTCTGAACTTAGCATCTCAGAGAATTGAGGATAGTATATTAGATTCAATTTATAATTTTTCAAACAAGTTAGATAAAGTTAGACAAGTATTTCTTTATACATCTAAACAATCATGTCTGGAGGAATGGCAGGACTTCGTAAGCTGGCGGACAAGCTCTTCACTCCCAACGAAATTCGTCGTTTTCAGGCGTACAAAAACCGTTTTAGTGAGAAGTATCTGAGTGTGGAGGGCTTGAAGTCCAATTTCAAGAAACCGAATTTCGAAAAACTCTTCAATCGCCGTATGTTTTCATCAAACAAAGAAGGTAAGTAATAAAGACATACCAAACTGCTAGATTTATTTAAGGGTACATTTTAAAGCATGCCACGAAGAGCCAAAAGCCAAGCGGGAATGTGACCCCAGCTGGGATGAGGTCCATCCTCCCGGTCCGCCTTACGAGCCATATGATTCACATTTTTGGTATCCAGATCCCGAGTATATGAATAAACAGCAATATGTAGTGATGTTTCCTGAAGGTGATGAGTGGAAGAGGCGACCAAATACCACGGGAAAAAAGATTCCACCCGTTGATCGCACTTTTCGCACCAAGTTCATCAACTTTGGACCCGCCCATCCGGCGGCCCATGGAGTATTACGCATGATCCTCGAGCTGGATAATGAAACTGTACTAAATGCCGATCCCCACATTGGTTTATTGCATCGTGGCACTGAAAAGCTAATAGAGTACAAGACTTATACACAGGCTTTGCCTTACTTCGATCGTTTGGATTATGTTTCCTGTATGGCCAATGAGTTGGCATATGCCTTGGCAGTGGAGAAGCTACTAAATGTGGAGGTTCCTCGGCGGGCCAAGTATATAAGGACCATGTTCTCGGAGATCATGAGGCTTACCAATCACACCATGGCTATAGCTTCGTCGGTTCTCGATTGCGGGGCTATAACACCATTATTTTGGTTGTTCGAGGAGCGTGAAAAGTTATATGAATTTTCGGAAAGGGCTTCGGGAGCTCGTCTACATGCCGCCTACATTCGCCCGGGCGGTGTGGCCGCTGATATACCACTGGGATTCCTCCACGATCTCTATCAGTTTATCAATCAATTTAGCGATCGATTGGATGAGGTGGAGGATGTTGTTACGGATAATCGCATCTGGCGTATGCGTAATATTGGCATTGGTGTAATATCAGCACACGATGCCTTAAACTATGGATGCACTGGACCCGTTCTACGAGCCACTGGTATCAAATGGGATCTACGAAAGCAACAGCCCTATGATGCCTATGATGAGATCGATTTCGATGTGGTTGTGGGATCGAATGGGGATTGCTATGATCGTTACCTAGTGCGAATGCGTGAAATGCGCGAATCGGTTAATATCATTAAACAGTGCATCGACTGTATGCCACCGGGTGAGATCAAGGTGGATGATCTCAAGATCTGTCCCCCAAGACGGCGCAAGATGAAGGAGGGCATGGAAGATCTGATCCATCACTTTAAGCACTTCTCGCAGGGCTTCTATGTGCCACCGGGTGCGACCTACACTGCCGTGGAGTCGCCCAAGGGAGAATTTGGAGTATATCTCATTTCCGATGGTTCAACACGCCCCTATCGCTGCAAGATTCGTCCAGCGTCCTATGCCCACCTCGCCCTCATGGCTAAATTGGCACCTGCTCACTTTCTGGCCGATATTGTGGCCATTATAGGATCTCTGGATATCGTCTTTGGCGAAATCGATCGTTAGTCGGGGCTTGGTGAATTAATATTATTTTTATTGTAGAGCCTTTTATGTGTATAAACAATAAACATTCAAGAGGTGACTAAAGTACCATATCTATTTTCATATGGTATTATTTAAATTGCACTTGAAACAATTTCATTTCGATTAACTAAAAATGTGTTTATTAAGTAACCACGTAGCAACTCTTCAAGAAGATTTTTAATCATACCATTTTTTTTTTCACTTTTTTGTTTTTCGTTAAAAAAATTAAAATGTTTCCTAGTTTTTAAAAAATATTTTCCCAAGTGTAGAAATCCCGTGCACACAGACAAACATTGTCCTCAAAAGGGAGCGTGAGTGTAATTAAAATAGGCATTTATTATTTTTGAAATTTGTGCAAAATTGTTCTGATTTAGTGACGCATGGCATAAGCTTCTGCTGCTGTTGCCCCGTCTCTTTCCCCCCCCATCTCCCCTCTCACTTGCTCACCATCTGTGTGCAGGCGAGATAAAATAGTGGCAGGAATTTTGCCGCAGTTTTGGAAGCTATGTGTGCATGTGTGTGTGCTTTGTTGTTAATTGAATTTCATTGTGCTAAATTCTTTGGCAAATTACAATTTAAGGGCTGCACAAAAGCCGACTGTGAGTCAAACTATTTTGCAATTACAATTACTATTAGTTGTGCTGAAGCGTTGATAGAATTAGTTAGGGCACCCACTGAACCATAAAGTTGGGTGACATTGTTCTGGATTGCCACTAGAATTCAACTTATTTGAGAAGTAAATATGATACATTTCAAACCTAAGGTTTAATGAATAGTTCAGTATAGTAAGGCAAGACTTGTGTGGTTTAAAACTAGCACATGACTACTGCTTAATTGTAAGTGAATTGCTGTAGAGACCCTATAACCCGCTACCAAAACCCCATCCTGCACAAACATGCATCATTAAGGGCTGTGCCAACACCATCAAAAAGTTTGGAACCTCAGGTAAACGCATAAAAGTATGCAACACAATTTATTTATGCCCACAGCAGGATGTCGCCGTCGATTTGGCAACAGCGGAAGAGGCTTTCAACTTCCGGTTTCCTCTTTCTCACCGTCTTTACTTTTAAAAGTGTTCTAGTTTTTATGTTGAAAAGGATATTTCATTATACCAATTTGTTTAAGCTTTAGAACTCTTGTTAAAAATTGTGTATCTGAAGGATGTGTAGACTTAAAAATGTATCGCTTCATAAAATATGTACTTTAATTGGTATACCAAAATATTAAATAAAAAAAGTAATATTAAATATAAAAGTATTAAATAATAATAGCAACTAAAGTTACTTAAAACATATTTAAAAATATTATTTTACCACATTTGTATTTAAAACTCCAAACTCCAATTAAAGTTAAAATGGGAACACGACTGTTGTTCTGTTTGCCCAAAATGTTTGCCAGTGTTTGTCGTAAAATTCGAGCAGTTGAATGGCACAGGATGATAGGAGAGGCATATGTGCTGACAGGAGCAGACAAGGACCCCCTACCCTTAACCCCTATCTACCTACCACCCTTAACCCCCCCTTGGGCACGGCTGGGCAACTACTAAAATTTTAATTGCTGCTACTCTCTGCGTACGTGTCGCCCAGCGCTCAAAGCTCGTTTAGTTTTTATGCCCGTCGAGTGGTGCCACGCCCCCTTCTCGTACTCCCGCCTCTTGCGCCCACTATCAAGTTTATTAATTTATGCAACACACACACATATACACTTAGAATTGTTTAATTGCTGCCTGCTCTTGTGCATATGCAATTTTGTCTAACATTTTAATTGAGTTGGGTGGAATAGTTAAGTTAATACCTCGCACACGCACACAAGCACGCAGTCTCCTGGGCATAAATATGTATATATGTTGGAAAAAAGAAATATGTAAAAAGGATATATTTCAGTAGAGCAAGGACTGGACTGGCTATTGGCTTAGTTTTAATTGTTTTGTTGCGGTTTCAATTAAAATTAACTTATGGAACTCAAACGACCCCCGCTTTCATCAAGCTTAAGTGCTGAAAGGCGGTGAAGGTCCTAACTGGGATATAAACTTTTAGTAGCCATTTTAAGGGCCCCAGAAGAAACATAAAATTAGGAAGCTGATGACATGTGTACTGCAGTAAACTTTATGTAGGATAAAGACCTTAAAACTGCCAAATCTAATAGTTGAAAGTACTTCACATTTATTGAGATAACATATTTGTCAAGAAGTTAATTTGTTGAATTTTATAAAAAATTATTGGGGTATACTGCTTTTTATCTTTTAATATTTTAATGAGATTTTTATGAACCGACATTTTTTATAAGTCTATTCCGTGTTTCACGGAAAATCACCATTTCTTTTAGCCAAGTTCAACGATCTTAACCGCAGGCAGCCAATTTTCTAGTGCATTTATCGACAACAAACAGCAGAAGCTGCCACAAAAAAGCAATAAAACCATGGCAAACGTTTCCAGCTAACAAATTGGGGCGAGGAGGCTAAAGCGAAAGCTGGTTAGAGGCAAAGAAGGATATGTTAAGCTGTGAATAATGCCCTCTCCATGGTAGCTTTTAAAATTGTCAACAATTTAATTAATCAACTCGGGGTGCAGGCCACCTCGGGGGCCCCCTGATAAATGGCTGTTTCAGGCGATGGGGAAAAAACGAGCTTAGTAGGGACCAGGGACATTGGCTTTGCCATTGGCAGCAATGTGAATGTGGTTGTAAATTAATACTTACACTGGGGATAAATGCAAAAAAAGAGAAATTCGATATATTTTACTTTTAAATTAATTAAAAGATAGGCTACAAATTATAGCTATACTCTCCTTTTTGATTTGAGAGAATTTTTAATGAGGGAAATCGAAGTATCCCATTTCTCAATATCAAGTTAACACCATTAATGTAATGAAATGTATAAATTATAACTTTTTTTTTTATTTCCATGTTTGGTTTTCCTCTGTGTATATAGAAAAACTTTCAATGTGCTCAATTGCCAATGAAAATGGTTAATTTTTCACCATCGCAATTGGAGGCCTGGGGCAGCGATGGAATGCCACTAACAGGATCAGGTCGAGGAACAGGAACAGGACGAGCAGCACCTGGTGACAGCCAGACAGGAAGCAGCCCTGTATAAATATGTGCCCCGTGTTTCATTAGCTGCTAATTAATTTAGCACACACACAAGCACTCACCACCAACACAACGCAAACACCCAACCACCTTTCCCCACCCCCACTTTCTCCACCCTTCCGCGATAAGGAGGAAATGCAGTTTGGATTTTCAATTAAGTGGGCGGGCGAAGAAAGTCGGATGGATGCTTGGCGATGTGAGATTTCGTCGGTTGTGTGGTGGAAAATATTACACAGTGTTAAGAGTGATGACAGGTGCAGGTGCAGGAACCAGAGACCCTGGAGCCCATGGGTTCATGTGGAAACTACGACGGCTGTAAACTGTCACACAGGAGCTGTGAAAGATGTCAAAAGCAGGGAAGGAGCCAAAAGTCTGCGGGGATCCCCATCCGAAAAGGTTAAACATCGTTCCGAGAATAAAATATGGGGATTTACCAATTTTGTTGTGGGCTTAACCCAGCACAATGCATACATATGTGTAAATTCATTTTTTGTCACTTGATCCTTCTTTTAAGCCTTCATCATTTTTTATTCACTTGTATATTAAATAAGTAAATGCAAAAGCTGAAATTAAAACAACAAAGGTCATATATAAATAAACTTTGCTGTGCTGAAGGGAAAAATTCCTGTCAACATTATAATATCAGATAATCACACAAGAATATGGAGAATAGTTTTAAAAATAAATAAAGTAAGTATATTTCTTGTTTATTTGAAAATAGTTTTAAGAAACGGATAATTATAACTTGTTGGCCAACCAATTCCAATGGTTTTCATATATTTTATGTTATTTTTCCAAAACCACACTCAGATGAGAATCCCACAACCATGTCGAGCTGTTTGCCCAATCATTTGGTTCCCAACGTTGCTATTTGCATATGTATATTGGATACCTGGCTGGCTTTTGTTTTCCTCATCAGCACAACGATGCCATAAAAACGAACATGTTTTTCCTGGTGCTGGCTGTAAGTTTTCCTTGCCAGCCTTTTGTTAAAATATTTATAGAAAATGGCGACAATTTGCGACAAACAATTGCGGGCCAGACCAAAAGTTGTGCTCACTTGGCGCCCACGCACTTTACATTGCATATTTATGGTTTTTTATTTGCATTTCGGTGTGTGTATTTTCTCTGTCTTGGCAAATGGAAAAACCATTGTATCTATAGGTCAAACCTTATTATGATCTCCGTGCATTAAGACCGAAATGGGTAGCAGCTCGGGGATATACTCATGGGTAAATAAACAAAAAGTCGAAAACACTCCCACATCCTGCATATGTCAGCTTTCTACGAGGTAATATAAGAAACCCGAGGTCTGGCCAAGGAAATTCTACCCTCGTTCGGAAATCTCTTGGAGCCGGAAAATACATAATTGTTTCCATGGGAGAGATTGTAACTACAAGATGGTTTCCCTTGGCATTTTTTCCCTCTTATTTTTGCACTTTCAATCAGGTGGGCTCTCTAGCCAACCCTTGGATTGCCGAAACTGTCCCCTGTGGGTAGCTAAATGTTAGATACAAAACCGAATCTTTATGTGAGGGTAGAACATAGGAAAAATTTAATAAAGCAGGAGATCAGCTGTTGCAAATTCCTGACTGGGTCTTTTCCCTCACAATTTCTCGACCATTTTTATGGCAATTGGGGGAGCAATATCTTTTCGCAAATCTGTATCTTACAGGGGTTGATAGAACATGAAATTGCCAAGACACTTACCCTTTGCAGAACCTTCGACCGTAGCCTCAAACTACAAATGTCTTAATGGAGATGGCAGGAGATTTAATGATGAGACAGTTTTGGGTTTCAGAAAGCACATAGGAAAAAATTACCCCAGTTGTCGACAGCAATTTATTGAATTTTTTTTCAAAAGGGGTGTAGTAAACGAATATCATATCTAATTGGAACGGAAAAAGTGAAATTTTAATACCTATGTATGTAACTTGATTTATTTATTTTTACCGTACAGGTAAACTTTGCCAGCCAGTGCATAC